TCAAGATAACAAAACTTCACAACAGTATGCCTCTTTACATTGTATGACAGAATACACACCACATTGGAACTTAAAGATCCCTGATCTTTAGAAGAATTAAGAGGTAGAAGACTTTACCTGGAAGATTCTATAGTGAAGCTAAGTTTGAGTGGGTGTGCCTTGAGGATCAATCCATCAAGCAAATGGCTACATATCTGTCACTAGGTAGCAGTATTCTGAGAGAGCTGCATAAGGCAAAGATTTTAAAACTTTTTATATTTTGGAAGTGAAACAAACCCAACCAATTATTTAAAAACTGAAAGTCAAAGATCACAGGTAAACAGAGTACTAACTTGCAGAAATGTGGACTATCCAAAAGATCAAAGTGGAGCTTTGAACACTGTTATCTATGAAATCAATCAAAAGCATACCATTGACACTTTAGAGGAAGACTTGTTTGTAAGAAGTGCTTTCAGCAAACAGCTGAAGGAATTAAATCCCCTCAGACAAACTTATATGTAAAACAGCACAAGAAAAAAAAAAAACAACCAGAAACCACAATTTCAAGATACTTCTTGAATTCTAAAATAAATTAGCAATTAAAAAGGCATACCCTGCTTCATTTAAAAAATGTATCTAATGTGAGAAACACCAACAGTGAATTGCATTAAAACAAGAGGCCAACGGTCTTTTAAAGCTTCAGGAAGCTGCGTCAGGCACCTTTCCCCCTTATACATTCCACTTCTATACACTAGAACTCTCCAACAGGACCCCATTCCTGTTTTAGATAACATTCTCCAGGAACACACGAATCCCTGTAAAATTGCTTTTTATGCACTTATAAGTTGTTAGATACACTTATAAAGTCTACCAAATTGCAATATAAAAAATTTTGACAATTCTGAGTGTCTTCATTGGATGAATCGATTCAGAATTTAGAAACTACTAACTCACTCAGAGTTATTAAAAGGAATCAACTACTGGAGACACTGCGGTGTATGTCCAGTGACCCTCCGCAAGGCTTTCCACATTACCTAAAATAGGATGCTTTCTTCTATAAGTTAAAGCCGCTGGGTGCTGGTTATAATAGAATCCAGTCTTCAGGTCAGCATCAGCAGTGGCCCAAGCCACCTATTCCGTCACCCTAGTAGGAAGAGGGCATGCCACTAGTGTAGCCACACATCTGTAAACTTGCACACTAATTTTAATCTTAACAAGGATTTCCAGTGTCAGTCATACTGGTTAAGTTAAAAGGATGGTCCAAGCACTGTGTTCTTCTATTCTGTAGGGTTATGAATAGCTTATTGGAAAACCCAGAGCCTTCTGGATCTGTGAGGTAGTAGGCTCCAACTCTTATCATGAACACATCACACCTCTCCAAAGTTGGTATGGCCTGTCTCCTTGGCATGGTCCCTTGCTTCTGCTTGTCCAGTTAACCCCTTCTGACACACCATGCATCTCAGGGTGAAGCGGTTTACATCAGTAAACTGTCTCTTTCTTCTAGCTTCATCAGCTAACTCCAGGGCTTGTACAAGAACGATATCATCATTTGAGGAGAAAATGGTCAGAGGCGGTGTATCTGGATCGGGGAAGTTACGCTGAAGCGGGTCATAGTGGATGCCATCGTAGATGAGCAGCACCCTTTTGGTATACCCCGCATCTTCCCCAAAACGATCAATTCTGACGGTCTGTGTATCCACTACACATATTTCACATTGATAAAACTTAGACAGGATGGATATCTCAATGGCTCCCCCCCAAGTGTCATCCCTTTTGATCCACTCACAATACTCCTCGTTTGTTTTCCCCAGGATTGCCTCACTATAGAAGTCTGGATCGCTTGCTACAATTTGTGCTATGAGGCATCTCATGTCAGGGGCACAAGATGGATTCAAGACTCCTCCTTCAACGACATAGTACACACTGGTAAAGAGGCAAGAGTTGTCTGCCGGGACTGCGGTTCTGGTAAGCACAGGCAGAGCTTCCCTAACATAGCTAGGAGCACCGTGTTTGGAAAATGCAGGTGAAGCTTTTGGTCTGGTGTGGTCTTCTTCAACAATCAGCATGTCACCTGTCAAAAATAAAACAAATCCAGAACTGCAGAGAAGTTACAGGGGGGCGAGGGGGGGGGTTATTAGCCAACTTGGTAAATTAGGAGCCAAATGAGTTCAAGCATAAAGTGGGTTACCTAGGAGAACAAGGCTTTGTAAACAAGAGACCAGTAACACCTAAGTTTTGTTTGTGTTTTTAGTTCACTGTCGCATCCCAACTTAAAGACAAAAACCTTTATGTAAAAAGGTAAGTTGAAAAAACAAAATCTCCTATATTCTTCATTTAAAAACGGGAATCCTTCGGCTGTTCACCACAGACTAGGTAGGTCACCAGGGTGTTCTCCTTGCACTTGGCATGACTACACCATTTGATGTTTAGAGGGGGGTCTTGACACAGAACAGAAAGTTTCTAATGGTCAACACCGATGTTCGAGTTTTAACACTGGGAACAAAACTCTACAGTTCACACAGATCAAGGTAAGTGTACACAAAACAACTATAAAAACAAATCAACAAAGGGGAAAAGCAGTTTTAGACAAAATCGGTATCTCGACTGCCGGCCTGCTGATCAGGATAGGGAAAAAGAACCACCCACCGTATCAGGGGAAAAGGGTCCTGCTGTCCTTTGGGAAAGCAGAGAAAACAAAATAAATGAGATGGTCCCAAGGTTGACCTGGAAGCAGGCTTGGGGAGTCGGGAACTTCAAGGCTTTGCTCTCAAGCACGCGTAAAGGACTTGACACTTGCCCCTGCCTTCCCGGGCCTCCGGTCCTCGAAGCCCCCAGCGGGCCCACCGGCACCTCGCCTTACTGGCTCCACTCTTCTCCCCTCAACGTCCTCCAGGACTTCCCCGGCCCCAGCCGGTGCCCGTACCTGAATGGATGGGCAGGTCCCCAAGCATTGTGTCCCGGTCGCTGAGATCCAGGCACTCGGGCGGGTAGCCGACGAGGATGCGCTGACTGCCCGGAGCGATCCCGGTGACGGCGGCGATCTGGCCCTGAAGTTCCCGTAAGCGGGTCCGACAGGACAGCCCCTGCAGAACGTGGGTGCCACCCTTGGCCTTGCAGCGGAGCCGCCACATCGTGTCGGCCGGCCGGCCTCCTCCTGCGGGGCCAGCTTTGGTCCCAGCCGCCGCCGGGGAGACGCCGCCGCCGCCGCCGCCGCCGCCGGAGCCACCAGCGGGGGGGACCCCAAAATGGCCGCCTTTCGCGCCGCCAAACATCGCGAGAGGTAGCCGCTGCGGCGGCGCTGCTTCTCGCGACAGCTCGGTTAAGGGAACCGGCCTCGGCCCTCCTTAAAGCGCCGACTCTTAAAGCGACAAGGGCGGCTTGAGTGGAGTGGCTGGAGGTCGGCGGGCTTTTCCGGGGCGCTGCGGTGAGGCGCCCTGCGCGCCCGCAAGCATTTATGCTCCAGGGAGGAGGGCGGGGAAGGGGTGCCCGAGCCTAGCAGAGCAGAATGTCACCTTGCAGGGAGGTCGGAAATGATGAAAGCCGCCGCCGCCGCCGCCGCCGCAGCCGCCCTTCCAGCAGCAGGAAAAGCAGACTCATAGTTGGGAAGGGTAAACAGATGCCAGGATAGGTCACAGGACCTGCCCCTCCGTCAGAGACCGCACCGGACTGATTCATCGAGGCCCAGACTGCCCGGCCGGACTCCTCGGTGGGTGAGACGAACTTGCAAGCGTCCATCTGCCACCTCAGACTGTATGAGGTCAGCAAGCCGTGCCTAGGGCGATTGATTGCCTCCCTCAGGTGGTGCCAGAGTCCGAGAGGACTGACTCCTGTCATCCGGATTCCAGTTCGATTCCTGGTACCCAAAACAGGAAGACACTTCATTCCCGCCCTGGGGTACAACAAAGTCCTCACTGTGGCCCAGGTGTGACGGAAGACGGGGAAGAAGAGGCATACCAGCCAGACACACTAGCCAGTTTCCAGCTTGGTGTGCTGAGAGTCCGAGACTGCCTTGAACACAACAACAACAACAAAAAAAAAGTGTGCAGTAAACGCCAGCTAATGACCGAGTTTATAGCATGCGATAACACGCTGAGGTTGTAAAACGCATACTGGACTGTCTGGAAGATGACCCTGACTCCTCGGTAAAGAAGAAATAAATAAAAGCAGCACTCGTTTTTTCATTTTTCATACTTTAGCTACAGCAGCCACCCTCCCCTCCCCTCCCATCCCCCGCCCCCACGGGACTGTCCCTCGAATCAAGCCCCAACGGTGTGCTGGGGTAACTTGGAAAAGTAGTTTTGGGACGTGTAAAACCCATTGCAACAGCCTCTACCTATGAATCGATTACAGCAAATCCTTTCCTCTCCACCCCCCACACCAGGAGCGGGTGCAGTTTCCCTCCCTGGTGCTTCCAGATGACCACAGATAACAGAGTCTGGGTCGGGGTCGTAGGAGGAAATAAAGGAACGTGGTTTGGAGTGACCTGGAGAAGTCACCTGGGTCCAGGGAAGCTCCGGGTTCCGAGCATGGTTGGCTTAAGGTTCCAGGATCTGACCATAAGTCGTAGTCAGCTCTTGCACCCTGGTAGCCAGTGAGGCATCTTTAAAAGCAAATTGTCTACCTCCGGGGAGACTTTGGGGGACAACCAAGCCTAGCCGGGATTCGGGAGTGAAGGCGTTAATCTGCGTTTTCACCAGACACTCCCACTCAAGATGTCAGTCAAATAGGTCTCGCGAGAAAAAGAAAAAAATAAGGTAAAGCTTCTTATTAACCCCGCCTCCAGCTCGATTGGTTCCCAAGCAACGATGCCACCAAGCCTCACTGTGTCGGCTGGTCTGGGAGCCGGCTGCCCTAGGCGATCACAGGTCCTCCCAGAGGCAGGTCCGCCTCCCTAGGAGCCCGCCTCCTGCCCTGCAGGTGCTTCATTGGTTCAGCCTGCCTCCAGGTGAGGGCTGACGCGCTGGTGGGCGGAGCCAAGCGGACACGTGATTCCCCCCCCCCCCCCCCCCCCCCCGTTCCAGCCGGGGAGCCCAGACTTCAGTCAATCTGCCAGGTCTGGTTCGCGGCGCTCCGGTGGCGACACCCGGTCCACAGCCCGGAGGACGAATAGGGCAGGTCGAATAGGGTGAGCGAGAGTCGAGCCGTCCGGACGCGAGGATGGGGTGCTGCGCGCGGGCGCGGTGAAGGTGCAGAGCGATGGTGCTTAGCCCTTTCGGGAAGTGTAGCTCTCCCCTGGCACTCCTGGGCGGGCAGACCTTCGGGGACGCTGGAGCTGCAGCTGGTGAATTTGTACTGAATTTGGTGAATTAGGCGAGGAGCAGTGCAAGGCTTTTCTTCTTTTCTTTTTTTAATAGAACCTTTTGTCTTGAGCTCCTTGGTATCTATCTAGGTTTCAGAAGTGAAACTCGGTCCCTCCTACCTAATTGATATTAGGACCCAAGGCTTATTTTGCAGGTAAGTCATACTCTTCCGCTGAGCCCCGGGGGTAGGGAGGGAGGCTTGAGAATGGAGAACACTGGAGAACAGAACGTGCTAGGGAGATCTCAGACCCGTTACATCTTCCTTCTTCTAGAGGACATGTTTCTGCCCCTGTCCTTCTCACCACCGTTCCCATTCTTTCTTTCTCTCTCTCTCTCTTTTTTTTTCTCTTTTCAAGACTGAGTTTTACCTTTGGATTGAGATTGCTTTCTTGATAACGCACTTGACTTATTCTCACCTGCACCTCACTTGTGATTGCCACCTCTGTTCCTCCCATATTCTTAAAACTAGAACGTGAGGTCAAGAAGCTCGGACAAGCACTTTTTAGTCGGTTATCTTTGTCAGTTCTGTAAAACAAAATGAAGTGATCATGATAGGAAAATATGCTTCATTAAAAGACTGTTGGAAAGCGTGCTGGATTTGAGGTAGATGAATGTGAACAAGGTCAGCAAATACGTGCAAAGTTGGAGTGCAGCTCTGTAGGTGAAGAATCAGGTTTGTGACTTATCCTAGAGCAAGTGGCTGTGAATTGGGAGGGAGAGGCTGGCCCTGAATCTTCTAGGGGCTCCTTGCTTGTAGCACTTGTATTTTCTTCTCTCTCTTTTCCCAGGTGCCTTCTGAAGAACTACCATGTCTGGGGATAGTTCATCTTGCACAGAACACAGAAGCAGCAGCAGCAGCAGCAGCAGCAGCAGCAGCAGCAGCAGCAGCAGCAGCAGCTGTAAACCTCATGCCTCCAACCTTCGGAAAGCAGGGAAGAAATGCTGTGAGTTCTGATAGAGTGAAGGCTGCTCCCTCTTTGTCCTGGAAATGTCTTTGTATCCCAGACTCCCTTGCTCTGTGGGAGTGAACAGTAATTCTTGGGCATGGCAACGTACATTTTATTTATTTTGTGACGGGGTTTTACTCCAGAGCCCTGGCTTGCTGGGTACCTGCTGTGTAACCCAGGCCACCCTGTGACTCAGGCAATTCTCCTATGTTAGCCTCTTGGAGTACACATGTGCGCCACTGTGTCTGACATGACATAGGATTTCAAACAGAGTCTACAAAGCGGGCAATTTCCTGTCCCAAACAAGTAGGCTTGTTGAAATGTGTCTTTGGAGCCTGACTGCTGTGTGGCCCAGAGTTTCTTGCTGCTTTCGTTGGCCATGGGAGCACTTGCCTGATGTTGGAAACTAGAACAAGTTCTTATGTACGTACGATGGCAGAGTGTCAAGGTGCAGGATTAATCTGGGCCTGTCACTCTCTGTTTCCCTTAATCTCTTGGACTGTGTTCTAGATCGGTGACACTAAACTGCGGGCAGAAGCCAGGCAGGGTGGTCCACACCCGTAATCCAAGCCCTGGTGAGCATCAGGAGTTCAAAGTTGGGCTCAGCTACACATACTTAGTTCAGAGTAAGCCTGGACTACTCGAGACCTTGTCCCCAAAAAGCAAGCAACCAGGAGTTGCAGGTAGAAGCTAGTACTCATCCTGTACCTCCAGGCCTAAGGGGAACGAGCCCTGACATGTGAATCTTGGTGTCTTGGGTCCTTACGTTCTTACAGGGCTAGCCTTGCATTTTGTAGATTCCTTCACATAAGTGCAGAGAGGGCAGCTATGGTAGCAGGGGAATGTTCCCCCGACTTTACATTCCTAGGCAAGGTTCTAGAGTTCCCTAAAAGTCTGGGGCATTGGCCGTCAGATGTTTCTAGAACCCTCAGAAGAGTTTTAGCATGCTTGGTCTTCCTTGTGGAATACACCGTTTTGTTGAAACCCTTCCAGTTGAGTAAAAAGTGCTTCTGCATGTGGGTGGGTGAAAGGAGGTGGGTGGTCAGTTGAGACCAGGTACTGGATGTGTTCAGAGTCTACCCCAGAGGCTCCGTCATGGGGTCATGCTCTTGTTCATTTCATGCTCTTTTATGTGGTGTCCATGACACATGTCCTGGATAGATGCGGGTGTAGTACTGAGCTTGGCACACCTCTGTGGTTAGGGCAGGAAGTCAGTACGGAGGGCAAACTGTCTCGTGAGTAAACTAGGTGGCAAGATGCTTGCTTAATTGTAGACCCTTCATTGGGACTACCTGGGTTTCAACAGTGGTTTTCCTGTTTCCTAGCTGTGCGCCCTTGAGCAATTTGCTTAACCTCTCTCTCCCCCAGTTTACTCTTTTTTTTTTAAAGAATCAAGCCTCCCTTCCCTCTGTCCCCTATGACCCCTTCTCTTTTCTTTCCCCTGACAGTGGCCCACTGTGTGGCCCAGATCAGCATTAAATGTGACTTTCTTGCCTTAGATCCAGAGTGCTAGGATTCCAGATGTACACCGCCACTCTTAACCTAGTTTACTCTGTTATAAAGTGGAGATACTAAGGTTGTTCTCCTGGGAGCGAGGTGAGAATTAAATAAGAAAATGCAGACAAGCACTCAGACGAATGTTGGAACTAGCTGCTGTGTATAATTTTTCACAAGTAACTCTACTTTTTGTATTTACTCTTGAAACAATACATATAAGTAGTATGATACTCAGGTGCTGGCAATACCTCATAATTTAAGAGCCCTTTACTTTTTCAGTGAAGAAGGTTTTCTATTGTTTGACAGTATTATAACTCACATGTTCTGATCCAGTGTGGTCCTCTTAAAGGGAACGTGCTCCTGGTACTAGGGTATGTAATCCACACGACAGTGGAGAGGGATGGGGTGGACGACGTCACAGCCAGCTGGTTCACGTTCTCGGCCCTCCTAGCTCTGCCTCTCCAGCTGGCTGCTTCTCCTGCCTGCCTTCCTAACCCTCTCATAGCTCTTCCACCGGAGGGCTTTTGATTAAGGAGCATAATCCTAGGTCTTGTTGAGGATTTCTAGACTCACCCCTGCTCCTGGCCATAGCTTTTCTTTTCTAATCTCTAACCTTTTTTTTGTTTTTTCGAGACAGGGTTTCTCTGTGTAGCTTTGCACCTTTCCTGGAACTCACTCTGTAGCCCAGGCTGGCCTCGAACTCACAGAGATCCGCCTGCCTCTGCCTCCTGAGTGCTGGGATTAAAGGCGTGCACCACCACCACCCGGCCTTAATCTCTACCCTTTTTTTTTTTTTTTTTTTTTTTTTTTTGGTTTTTCGAGACAGGGTTTCCCTGTGTAGCTTTGCGCCTTTCCTGGAACTCACTTGGTAGCCCAGGCTGGCCTCGAACTCACAGAGATCCGCCTGGCTCTGCCTCCCGAGTGCTGGGATTAAAGGCGTGCGCCACCACCGCCCGGCTTAATCTCTACCCTTTTAAAACTGCTTTTTCTACCCAACTGAAGGGCTCTGAGTTGTCATTTATGTACCCAACTTTTTTTACCTCGTGGTAGGACTGAGATTGTGAGATCCTCAGGAGAGTATTAGTTCTGTTTTGTTTTTTTGTGTGCTGTGCACAGAGACTTGACTGTTTGCTTGTTCGGATCCATCCTCCTAATGAGAGTAGAGTCATAGGCACCTTTTCTGCTTGGTTACCGTGTCCTTTTTAAAAACCTCCCTGAACGGTAGATGTCATTCCTAGGTTGGTTGACCCAGACTCACCCACTCCACATCGTGTGGAGAAGGTCCCTTGTTACAGACTCGCCGCCTGCCTGTGTTGCTTTATTTATAGCTCAGCTGCTGTCTCCTTGCTGCTCCTCACCCCTGCGAGCGAACTTTGAGTCTGGGAAGCGACAGGGCTTCACTTCAAGCCAAAGAATGACTGTAAGGAGCGAAGACCTCAGGAGCCTTCCTGGGACTTGAGATGTTCCTGGTGTGGGGTTGTGGGTGTACCGGCTGGGGTCCTTTTAAGGGACCCAGGTGAGTGGTTTCAGGGGTCTCTGAGAGCAGGAAACGAGGGACCTATATGCTTTCCTTACTAAGTCTTTTTTTCCTTTCTCATGTTTTGGTTTCTTTTATTTATTTTTAAAATATTTTGAGTAGATCTGGAGAAGACAAGTATATTTTCCCCTAAATACAAAAGTAATGCATGCTTAGGAAACTCAAATAATTACAAAAGAAAACATGGAAAGTAAAATCTCTTCCAATCTCTCTTATCTCTGCTAACATCACTTCTTTTGGATGTTTAGTTCTGGTGTATCCCATTACCAAACATAGGTAGACTCATGATATACATAGTCTGTTCTGTTGCCATTTCATTTTTAAGTATGTATTATACTTTGGACTCTTGTTTATTTTTTACATGTTGGTAAATCCACGTTGACCTCATTCTCCATTGTGTGAATCTCGCCTGATAATTGTTTAAAACTTTTCACTGTCACAAAGAACGCTTCAGTGAGCAACTTTATGAGTCTGCATGCTCATGTCAACAGCATTTCCTACAGACGTAAAGGAGCATGACAGACCCAGTGGGAGCCCTCCACCATGTTGTAATATGTTCTGTGAAGTTTCTGGGCCTCAAGATGTATTTGCTGGAGGTTGCCTATAACTGACCAAGGCTGCACTGCCTACCAGAAACCTCAGTTTTCTTAGTGTTTGGGTGCAGTTCTTCCAACTGATTATTTCATGCTCATCAGTCAAACAGCAGTAGATGATCAGATTTTATAGTTTTTTAATGAATAACATTAAGATAACAATAATGATAATGTTTTATGGGTTTCATATTCAAAATACTGGGCCTGTTTAATGTGGATAATGGAAAAAGTCCTTGACCGTGAGGAGACCAAGAACCATTTCTCTCCTAGACATCCTTCCAGATAAGCTTGGAGAACACAGTCATGTTTTCCATGGGACCTTTTGTTATGTGCTAATGTGATGGCCAAGAACCAGCAGATAAGGCTGAATGGGCAGTCATGAGATCAGTAATGTGGTGGGGAAGCCTGACCTTGACTTTCTTCTGTGGTCCTGTGGGCCATGCTCATACGTTCTCTGGGATTTCGTTTTTCCATTTCTGTGAAAGAAACTCTCAAGCTCTCGTTTTCACTAAGCATGCTGATAAAGAGAGATGAATTGAAGCTGGATAAAGCAAGTTTAACTCTGCATAAAAAAGACAAAAGGATTTCAGGATTGGAACAGTTTTCCATGTATGTCAAGAGATGGCGTTACGTATCTCTAGGTCAATCGGTGTGAAGTGCCTTCCCGTTCACACTCAGGTGGTGCTTTTCCTTTGACAGATAGGAACAAAGTTCCCAGTTCTACCAGCCTGGCAGTTTGAGATAGGAAGTATTATTTGAGTTTTTGTTTTTGTTTTCCCCAGAAAGTGAGAAGCCCTGGTTATAGCAGGTGTGTGTGTGTGTGTGTGTGTGTGTGTGTGTGTGTGTGTGTGTGTGTGTGATCTAGGCTGAGGCTGGAAGAGTGATGCTGAAGAGTAGGAATATGGAGTGCCCGTGGCCCAACCCTGTTAGCTTTTGTTGTTAGCTTTCTAGCTTTCTCTGTCCAGCATGGTGAACACAGAACAGCTACTCCCGGGTTTCTCTCAGAGTAGCTCCTAAGCATGCTTTGTTCTAAACTTCAGGGAGGGTAACAGTACCATTGGCGGAAGTGCCTAATGGGCTAGAAGATGTGGACAGAGAGGCCTGTAAGTGCAGCTAATGAGCCACATCATCACATATCCAGAGGAGTATGTGATAAGCTGGAGACCATGAAAACTTAGGGGTGGAGGGTTGGGGGGGGATTTTACTGCTGGGACCTGTTGCCAGGCGGGCCTGTTGCCTCCTGGGGTCAGTGCTCAGGGACTAATGCCCACAGAGGCCACCAGGTGTTGTTTACTTGTTTCTTAGCTCCTTGTGTGGATAGAGATGAAAAATGCTTTTGCTGCTCCATGACCTATCTTGGTGGAGCTCCTGTCCAGAGTCAGCAATTTCCCTGTGCAGCAGGGCTTGGATTCTCGGTGGGTGGTCTCCTAATTCTTTCCGAAGGAAAGAATTCATAGAGACAGTTAATAGAATGCTTAAACAGAAGTTTATTTAGCAAAGCTAAACAAAGTAAAGACACTAAGGAGATTGAAATGGGCGTCTTCAAGGCAGGAAGCAGCCCAGCAGGTTCTGAACTATTAGGTGGGTGCCTTTGTCGTCCCAAATCATGGTGGGGCCACATCTCCCTTTTAGGATATTTCTTCCCATGATCCTGCAGACGGGGAGGTGTCACACCAGCAATGCACATGACATTCTAATGATCTCAGGTCTTGAGGATGCAGACCGTCAGTGCACATGACATTCTAATGATCTCAGGTCTTGAGGATGCAGACCGTCAGTGCACATGTGTGGGGAAATGCCCCGGTGCCTTAGTTTCTGGCACAGTGAGAACAACCTCACTGCAGCCTCAAAGATGCTTAGCCTCAGAGTGTCATTGACACCATCAGGTGACACTTGTTGCGGGGTCCCTTCGGAGAAAGGTGCTAGACGCAGATGGTCCAGGTGCTTTTCTTCCTTTGCTTGTCTTTAGCCATGGAGAGAGCCTGCAGCCTGAGCTGTCCCTGGTGATGTCAGCTTGGGTCTTGGCTTCAAGAAAGGCTTGATCAGGTACAAATGCAGGTCTTTTCTCCACCCCTGCTTGGTGGCAGCATGCACAGGGAGGAGCCAGTTCTGTGAGTGAACTGAAACAGGCCTCTTGTTAGGGAGAAAAACTGGGGCGCACAGGTCTGGATTCCAATGGCACATCTACACTGGACTGATTTTGTGCCGTACGAGTCACAGACTGTCTAAGCCCACCAGCCCAGTGAAACCTATACTTGCGAAGGAACACTCCTGAGAGAAGTTAGTTGCTATGGAGAGGTCAGCACCACCAACTGTCCTGCTTACCAGTCATTCTACCTTTATATGAGCTCTTGAGGCAGGCAGGCCTCCATGTCCTTGTGCTTGAGCCTGAACCTTTATGGAGTCTATTCAGACCTTTCTCCTGTAGGCTTTGGCTACCGAATGGGGCTGTGGTTTAGAAATTAAGTGGGGGAGGAGTTCATGACCTGAGTGTGGTGGCCAAAATAGCTTGAGGCAGGGATTTTTTTTGCAGAGACCATCAACATCTTGCCTGTGGCTCTGGAGGGATGGGTGGGATCCTCAAGGGAGATACTCTGTGGGACCTATTTTAAAGTCAGTCTGGTTTGGGGTGAATAGAATCATAGCTACAATGTTATTAATCATTCTGTCTCTTCCAAATCTTTACTGTGTCTTTCCCTCTTGGGAACCTCTCTGAATGAAGACTTGGGAAAAAATGCCTGGGCGTGGGTTCTTTATGGAAGTCTGCATGACCCTTTAACTCTGTCGCCTCAGTTTGCCTTCTCACCCTTCCTGGACCTTTGCCCAGTAGGCTTGTGAGGACTAAATGAGATGATGACTACGGAGTTCCTCATCTGGACATAAACCTCATGGGACGTGTCGTGTCGTCACTTAAGCCTTGCCTGTCTCCCTTCCTTTCAGCATGGGCCTCCTACATGACCAACTCCCCAACTCTCATCGTTATGATTGGTTTGCCAGCCCGGGGGAAGACTTATGTGTCCAAGAAACTAACACGCTACCTCAACTGGATTGGGGTACCCACCAAAGGTAGGTGCAGGCCCTTCCTCGGGAAGGGAGTTGATTAGTTCCAGGGCCCCACAGGCCTCTGAGAGACTTAATCTTGCTAGCATCGAGGTCCTCTAATACTTCTGGTAAAGATAAAGATTGCTTCCTCGTTCCCTGGATTTGTTGTCCGCAGCCATGTCTCCTGCAGGCCTAGGCAGACCATCCTAGTTTTGATAGAATGCCTTTGGTAGAAGTAGTCAGAATTCAGTGAGAATGTGCTGCCTCATAACTCATGGCACATGTGTCATGTTCTGAACCTTAATGATACCCTGGTGAGACAGTAGCCGAGGAGACAGATGCTCAGCTTCAGCTTGCCCACGTTCTTCACCTAAGTCAGGACTTGAACCCAGCTTGTCTTGGTTTGGTATTGTTTCCAACATGCATGGTGCTTTTTCCATCCCACTGGCCACTCTGTTAGGCCAAGAAGTCTCCTTTAGTGGGGCCGTTGTATTGTTTTTGCTGCAGTGTTTAACCTCGGGGTATATCGGCGTGAAGCGGTCAAGTCCTATAAGTCTTACGACTTCTTTCGGCATGACAACGAAGAGGCTATGAAGATCCGCAAGTGAGTCTTTTTCTTTTTCAAGGCCTGGCCTAAGTCAGCTGTTTCTGGGCAGTTGTGAGACTGAGTGTGTTAGGGTCCAGTTTTTCTCAGGAAATATCTTGGGAGCATTTTAATGCATATGATTAGATTGAAAGATCAGCTTGGGTGGGTGGGTAGCAGACAGGGCTGTAGAAGATGCTTTTGCGTGATGTCTAAAGGGGTATGCGGCCTAGAAACTGGACACGGAGGAAGTTGTAGGAGGGTGTGCAAACTTCCATGGGAAAGTTGAAAGACTTAGTTAGGGGGAGCATAACCAGAAAGAAATTGAGTGGGCAGTACAACTGTGTGTGTCTCCGCCCTTGTTTGCTCTTAGATCTTTTCACCGATTTCCTTTTTCTCCTGGCAGACAGTGTGCTCTGGTAGCACTGGAGGATGTAAAGGCCTATTTTACTGAAGAGAGTGGGCAGATTGCGGTAAGCCGTGTCCGCTGCCCCTTCATCCCCACTCTTCCAGCGTCCTGGCTACTCAGCCCCACCTGAGTAACCAAGGAGTCAGCCTTGGGCCGTGTTTCATTTTTCTCTTCCCGGTCATTTGCTTGGTGTGCTCTCTGCCTAGGTGTTCGATGCTACCAATACCACTCGGGAGAGGAGGGACATGATTTTGAATTTTGCTGAGCAGAATGCCTTCAAGGTGGGCTCTGACCCTATGTTGGAAGAGAAGGGAGGAGTGGAGGTGGGGAGCTAGGATGGAGAGATGGGGATGTAGGTCCCTTTGACTCTGGTGACCACAAGATTAGGTAGGATATCTATTGTGTCCACTTGGGGCCTAGGCCTATCTTTGAGTGTTTTTGTTTAGATCCTTTCTCTGGCCTTTATTTAACCTGTAAGGCAGGGTTGGGGGCACTTCATAAGGAGATCCTGAAGATATGGTAGTTGGGTGGGATGGGTGAGTATGTGCTTTCAGTTAACAATCTGGCATTTTTGACATGATTATCACGCCTTCGCTCCATGGCCAGGTATTCTTTGTGGAATCTGTCTGTGATGATCCTGATGTCATTGCTGCCAATATTCTGGTGAGTGTCATCCCTGTTACCGTTAGTCAGTCAGTCAGTCTCAGTCTCTCTGTGTCTGTTGCTCTCCTTAGTGAGAGAGAGAGAGAGAGAGAGAGAGAGAGAGAGAGAGAGAGAGAGAGAGAGAGAGAACTCTGGGTAGTGAAAGAAGAAAACACAGAGATCTTCTTTATCTGGGAGCATTTTGTACCTTTGAAATCTTCTCTTGGGAAGAGAACCTGGGTTTGTGGAGAATACAGTAGAAATGAGTTGCTGAATGGGGAACAGCTTAGGCTGGGAGCCCTGGCTTTGTGTTCTGACATTACCCGATGGGGAGACCTAAGTGTTGTGCCAGATTAGACTTCTTTTTCTTGTTCAGCCACCTCCTAGGAAGGTTGTTGATTCAGTATCATCTAATGTTACGATCAGCATTGAATATTGCACCCCAGTGCCCTGTGGGGCACAGCACCAGCCAGTGCTCACTGGGTAGGTTGTTTGGTTCTGTGCCCATAGGCATCTTGGTATGCTCTCCCAGAGGTGCCTTCACATCATAGGAGCTGGAGTTACTTTATTTGAGGAAGAGGCAGTGACCCCTAAGTCAAATACCGGGTCACATCCTCTGTGCTGAGAAGCAGTAGGGGAAAATTGGAGCCCATTCTGTGTTTTTAGGCAAATACATAAAGGGCTCAGGGCTTAGAAGCAGCGTTAGCTGCATGACTCCCTCTGTCCCTTGGCCAGAAGGCAGGCACATGACTCCCCAGTTGTCTTCCCTTTCTTGGTTGCCAGGGTCACAGGACAGGATGGGAGTGTTCAGTGAACGGGGAATGCCAGTACTCTAGTGAAAGCTGTTTTTATGGACTTCTTCTGTTTTTAGCAGTGGCTATTTGTAGGAGGGCTGTTAAGAACAGAATTCTGACCGGGCCCTTATGTTCCTGTGATTTCAGGAGGTAAAAGTGTCAAGCCCTGACTATCCTGAAAGGAATAGGGAGAATGTGATGGAGGACTTCCTGAAGAGAATTGAGTGCTACAAAGTCACTTACCAGCCCCTTGACCCAGACAACTATGATAAGTAAGGTTCAACACCATGATCTGAGGGTTGAGGCAGGAGGAAAAGTGTCTTTCTCCCTGTTGGTCTCGAATTCTTCCTGGTAATCTAAACTTATGCTGTTTACGTCATTTCACAGAACAAGGTTTTTGTTGTGATATTGTCTTAGTTAGGTTACCATTGCTGTGTTAAGCACAATGACCAAAAGCAAACTGGGGAAGAAAGGGTTTATTTGGCTTATGTTTCCACACTGTAGTCCATCACTGAGAGAAGTCAGGACAGGAACTCAGGCAGGACAGGAACCTGGAGGCAGGAGCTGATGCAGAAACCATGGAAGGGTACTGCTTACAGGCTTGCTCCTCATGGCTTGCTCAGCCTACTTTCTTATAGAACCCAGTACCACCAGCCCAGGGATGGTACCAACTACAATGTGCTGGACCTTCCCCATCAATCACTAATTCAGAAAATGCCCTGCAGCCTCATCTTCTGGAGGCATTTTCTCAATTGAGGTTCCCTACTCTCAGATGACTTTAGCTTGTGTTAAGTTGACATTAACCTACCCAGCACAGATATTTATGTGGGTTGTGTGTTTTACCTAACCGTACTTAACCATATTTCCCCTCATCAGTTTTTCTTTTCTAATCTCTAGAGCAGTGGTTCTCAACCTGTGGGTTGGGAACCCCTTTGGGGTTAGAATGACCTTTTTTAGGGATTGTGTATCAGATATCCTGCATGTCAGATTTTATATTATGATTCATAACTAGCAAAATTACAGTTATGAAGTAGCAACGAAAATTTTATGTTTGGGGTCACAACATAAAGAATTGTATTAAGGAGTCTCAGCATTAGGAAGGTTGAGAACCACTGCTCTAGAGCAAGGTTTTCCATCTAAGCATTAGTGACATTTTGAACTGTGGAATTCTTTGTTATAGGGGCTACTCTGTGTACTCTAATATGTGTAGCAGTCTCCATGACCTCTGTCCACTAGGTACCAGAAACACCTCCAAGCTGTGACAGCGGAAATGTTTTTAGCTATTACCAAATGTCTCCCAGGGACCCAAATCGTCTCTAGTTACAAAGCACTGCTCCAGATTCAGTAAATCTGGACTATAATGCTATAGGGTATCTCTTAGAGGTATGTCATCAGTGTTGAAGTTTACCATATATAATCTGTATTTTAGTATATGTGCTTGTTACATATATATCACATGAACTCAGGGATGCTGCCTGACAGAAGGAGAAATGTCTGATCAATGTTAGCCATTCTGACTGTGGTAATGTCTCCTGGCAGTGAGGCATAGAATACAGACTGATTGGCCTGGTGTCGGGTATAGTGACATGTTAAGTCCATGTTGCAGAAAGGCAGTGTATGTATGGAAACCTGTGGGAACATTGCCTTATGAAATAGTGTGTTTTGTTTTGAGTTTTTGAGACAGTCTCAAGGAGTCCATGCTGGCCTTTAACTTACTATGTAACAGGATGACCTTGAACCCCTGACCCTTGTGCTTCTCCCTCTGTAGTGCTACGATTGTATTTCCAAGAAATAGTGTTCTATCCACTCATTTCTCATCGCTGTGACAGAACACCTGGCATCAGGAACTCGGGAGGGACGTTTGTTTTGGTTTAGTGTTCAGCAGGTACAGCAGCACCGTGTGGGGACAGCGTGGGAGCAGGACTGCCTCCCGCCCCATGGGGGTGGAAGGCTGCTGCTTGCTCATGCTTCAGAGGCTCAGGAAGCAGAACGGTTGTGCTCCTCTGGCTTACTTTCCCCTCTCCCCCCAGTTTTTGAGTCAAGATCTCACTGTGTATTCTAGGATAGCCTTGAGCTCAGGGCAATCTCAGTGCTGAGATTACAGGTGTGAACCCCCATGCCTCTCTCCCTCTTCTCTCTTTATTCGGCCCAGGACCCTCTAGACCATGAGATGCTGCTGTCTGTAGTCAGGGGGAGGGTTGCGCCCTTATTTAGTCTTCTGTGGGAACACCCTCACAGACATACCCAGAGGTGTGTCTCTAGTGCCCTAGGCAGTTCTTAATCCAGTCATGCTGATTATCAAAACCAGCCATGTGCACAGCCCAGGATTAAGTCACTGGAGTTATCTCATTAATGTTTTGAGCTTTCATTTTCTTCAAATGGATTTCCCAGAATACAAGTATTTAGAAGCATTTCCGTAAGAAGTGGCTGAAAGGCACTGCCCCAGATATGGCATAAGAAGATACCTTCAGTCTCTCAAATTCCTTTGTAGAAAAGCATTCTACAGAGATATTTATGTTTATAAGAATGTATGTTTATAGATTTTTATCTCTGGTGGTAGGTCAGTGGGTGACTTACCTTATTGTATCATTTTCTCCTGATCATTGTTTGGAATAAGCTCATATTACTCTAATTTTAAGAAAAATCCCATGGTTACAAAGCAAATAGTTAGTGGCAGTGTCTTTGAGAGAGGTTGATTAGGTGGTGCAGGGTGTAGCAGGCACTCTGGTTTTTTCCTTCCTCACCCCCCTCACCCCCTGGAGTTGCCATGCTCTGTCTGGATTTTGACCACATCATGGGGGGCCCACATGTGTCTCACCAAATTTTGAATTTAGCAAAATCTTCAAGTCGCTTAGTCTAGCTCTGGGAAGCCTGAATTGTGTTTCCCACACTTGCACATAGGCATGGCGCAGGATGGACACCGGGGATAGTCCGTACTTGCTGGAAGTTCAGTCAGTTGTATGCCGTCTTCATTTGAAGATGTAATCTATCTCTTAGCATTTGGTTGTTCTGTAAATGTGGCAGTGTACAAATCATTCTCCCCATACGTTTTATTGGTTCATTTGTCTTGAGTCAGGGTCGAACTCGAGCCCCTCCTGCCTTAGCTCCTAAGTGCTGGGGTTGTCGGCCGGGGCCGACAGCCTTGCTCCCTGCCCACCTCACTCCTCGTCTCAGATTTTCTTACCGTGGAATTCCTTCTTTCTGCCCTATCCCAGGGATCTGTCTTTCATCAAGGTGATAAATGTAGGCCAGAGATTTCTGGTCAACAGAGTCCAGGACTACATCCAGAGTAAAATTGTCTACTACCTTATGAACATCCATGTCCAGCCTCGCACAATCTACCTTTGCCGGCATGGAGAGAGCGACTTCAATCTTCTGGGGAAGATTGGGGGTGACTCCGGCCTTTCACTTCGAGGAAAGCAGGTGAGTAGTTAGCCAGCAGGCTGGATTTCCTACGCTTAGAGTTAGAAGGGCATGCTGGAGGTCATCTGTTTTATCCCCTCCTGCTTAAATCCCATTGGGGCTTAGGCTGTGGTGTCACACAGCCAGGCAAGGGCTGAGGAGGACGTTCTCTGCTTACTGCTCGTAACTCTGGATTAGAGTGTGGGTCACTTGAGACCCTTTCTGCTGTGATCATTCAGCCATCAGGAAATTACAGGGCACTATTTGTGATGTGACACAGAGTCCCTCCAACTGAATTTCATTTCCTCTTGGGTTTATAGTTTGACCATGGCTAGTAGTCTCTGTGTGTATTGTGTGTGGGGTATGGTGGGTTTTCTTTGTTTAGCTTTTTTTTTTTTTTCCAAACCCCAGTTTGCTCAGGCTTTGAAGAAGTTTCTGGAGGACCAGGAGATCCAGGACCTCAAAGTGTGGACGAGCCAGTTGAAGAGGACTATTCAGACTGCTGAGTGTCTTGGGGTGACCTATGAGCAGTGGAAAATACTAAATGAGATCGATGCTGTGAGTCAGCGTTCCTGATTGACACTCTCAGAGGTTACAGCCTGGGTAACTTAGAAAACCAGAATCGTCACCTAGAAACTGAGGAGTCGGAATCTGGCCATTTCAGAGGTTAGGCGAGAAAAAGGTCAACTCCTCCTCCTCAGGGCTCTTCTCATACCTGAGCCCAAGGCAGGACACCAGTCTCTAACTGAGTCACTGCTGCTTGTATCGAGTGGCGCTAACAAGGACTCATTTTGTTTCCCTGCTAGGAGAGGGAAGCTCCTAATCACTCAGTCCTGTACTACTTGCTTTGATCATTCAGCCAGCAGTTCTGGGAAAGTCTTTCCCCAAATTTTCCTTGGCATTCTGTATTGCTTAGCCCAGATACATATTTCTTTTTGTTTTTATTGATACCAGGGCTCATTCTAGCCCAGGTTGGCCGGCCTGGAACTCATGATCGTCCTGCCTCTCAGCGTCCCAAATATTGAGCTGACAGGTCAGCTTAGACGCGTCTCTTTCCACCTGTGACAGCTGACTTTGGCCACAAATAGGTGCAATACGCGGAAGGCCGGCCTCAGCACGTGGCCTCCACACATAGTGAGGCACTGGTGTTCCTCAGTGTCACCGTCCTCGTCTGGGATGGGGAGAGCGTGGGCGTCACACGTCCTGACGCTGCTATGGCTCTTGCAGGGCGTGTGCGAGGAAATGACGTATGCGGAGATTGAGAAGCGGTACCCCGAGGAATTTGCACTTCGGGATCAAGAGAAGTACCTGTATCGATATCCTGGTGGGGAGGTGAGGCTTCACTGACGTGGAGTAGCTGTCTAGTGCTTTGCTGGGCACTTTTCTCAAGGGGAGGAGAAAGGGTGACCTAGGAATCCCTTCTTACCCTGCCTTTGGTCCTGCTGTTTAATTCAGCTTAGACAGTCAGCTTTACATTTTGTTAACTTTCTAAGATCCCTAGGGGACAGGGTGACAAGATCCCTTTTGTGCTGAGAATGTTAGAGAATGAATGTGATCTTGTTACTTTTTCCCTTCTCTTCCCTCTCCTCCACTCCTACAGGCAGATAGAGTCACTTAAGTAAGTACAGGGCGTGAGTTACTTCCTTTACCATGTTTTAGGCACTGTCCTTTTTGAAATGGCTTTCTACCCTAGGGTGTGCGTGGCAAGGGTAAATGAAATGTAAGGGCAGAGGTTCAGGAACCTTCTAGAACTCTTTTGTTGCTCTACACACTGCCTATTAATGTCTCTGAGGAAAAGAGAAATAAATTGCATTTCTTGAACGGTGGTTTTTGGTCTAAATAATTGCTTTTGAAAGATCAGGATGTTCTTAGGAAGCCAGGGCTGGGCAGTTAGGCAGCAGAGAAGCACTATGCCTCCCCCGCCAGAGTAGTCTCTTGAGTCTGGAACTTAGCCACCAGCTTGGCTGCTAGCGTGCACCTGGCCTCTTACCAGCTCTCCTCACTTCTCCCGAAGTCATACCAGGACCTGGTGCAGCGACTGGAGCCTGTCATCATGGAGCTGGAGCGTCAGGGCAACATCCTCGTCATCTCCCACCAAGCTGTCATGCGCTGTCTCCTGGCCTACTTCCTGGATAAAGGCGCAGGTGCTGTTTGGTGGAGGGGATAACACACACACACAGGGACAAGGCTGGACGTGGTGGTGACGGGTTCTTGACTACCGGCTCCCCTTTTCTTCCACTCATGTGGAGCTCCCAGCCGCTGTCGGCCCACCGCTTGCTCACTTGAGTCTGCCGCTCCCAAAGCTGGCAGTGGAGGATGGCTGATTGGATGCTGCCTGGCCTGCCGAAAGGGTCACCTCCAGCCGACCTTACTGGCAGCGTCAAGGCGGGGACTTGAACAGTCCAGTTTGTCTGTCTAATTATTGTGGGTGGTTTATTAGGACTGTCTTCACCCTTTGCGAGTGGGAATAGAGCAGTTTTAGAAAAGCAGTAGGAAGTGCTCCTCTGGCCTGTCTTTCCCCAGTCCTTAGGCTGCTTGAAGCCTTGCATCTCTTTTTTCATGCATTTCAGATCTACACTGGCCCTTGTTTCCTTCCTTACCACTCGGTAGCTTGGGTGGCTTCTTTGGACCTGCCAATTTTCTGACTTTAGGGGAAAAGCTGTGCCACTCTAGGTGATGGTCAGGGTAAAGAAAGCTCATGGGCCCTTAGATTCTCTTTTCCTCAAATGACCGTATTCCTTAATACTAAGACTTCCCTCCCCGGGTCTTTTTGTCTTTCAGATGAGTTACCATACTTGAGGTGCCCTCTCCACACCATCTTCAAACTTACTCCTGTGGCCTATGGTAACTATGAGCTTGAGCTGGTGAGAGGTGGGATCTCAGGAACATCAGGATATATGTGTCAGGGATGTTCTGTTAGTAGCTTCCGCTTGAAAAGAGCATATGCACGTGTGTTCCTCTGGAGTACATGTATGCATGCCCCAGTGTATGCTCGACCATGCTGAGACTGAAGAGTTTTCTTTGAGCTGCTTCTTGGTGGCTTTTCTCTCCTCCTCTCTACCCCCACCCCCTCCTTGTTGGTAGTTTATTTCTTGTGCTTGGTTTTATTTTGTTTTGTTTTTGGGATTAGTTGGGTCTAGCCTGGAACTCCAGGTAGTGTGGAACTCATGGCAGTTCACCTGCCTCAGCCTCCAAGTACTGGGGTTTCAGGAGTGAGCCACCATGCCCGGCTCTGACAGCTTTTCTCTCCTGGTTTGTTTTTTATTTTCAGGTTGCAAAGTGGAAACAATTAAACTGAATGTGGAGGCTGTGGACACACATCGTGACAGGCCAACTGTAAGTATTTCCTAGTCACCTTGAATCTTTGAATCATTGTCGTCAAGAGGCTTGGGTTTCTTTTATAAAGAGAAACAAAGCCAGAATTCGTGGCCTGTCATGGTCTCCTCACTTCCAACAGGGAAAGATGGAAGGGATTTTTAGTTTTTAAGTGAGTATCTCTTTCATGAATCGTAGCCCTGAAAGTTAGCTCCTGGGAATCGAGTTCAATATAGAAAGGGTTTGGCTGAAGTGAAATGTACGAATTCCCTTGCTGCACCCCCAGGGAAGTCTCCATTTACAAAGCAGGATCTAAGGGGTCATTACCAGTATAGTCAGGAGCTGCCAGTCAGCTCCTTGGTCTGCTCTTGGCAACCTGTGTGGACTTAAGCAACCGCCTTTGTTGGCTCCTTTACTGCTCTTCAACGTGGTACCCAGGGATCTTCCCCTGTGATGACCCTTTTATTCCTCTGGGGCTGTGGGCCCAGACTATGCCCTGCTCGGTCCTGTGTGTAGAGAAGCAGGAGGAAGAGCGGTTATGCTCAGGAGCATTGTGTGACCTCTATGGGTAAGGTTTGGTATGGCTTTCATGTATGTGGTATCCCTCCATTTCCAATCAGCACAACTTCCCCAAGAGCCAAACCCCTGTAAGGATGAGAAGGAACAGCTTTACGCCTCTGTCCAGTTCGAACACAATAAGGCGTCCGAGAAATTACAGTGTTGGGAGCCGGCCCCTCAAGCCCCTCAGCCCTCTCCGTGCCCTGGACATGCAAGAAGGGGCGGACCAGCCGAAGACCCAAGTCAGCATTCCGGTGGTGTAACTGTGTGTCTCCCTCCAGCTTTGGTCTCTTGCCCTTGCCACTAATCAACAAGACGTCCTTTAACTTCACCCTGCTCCTGTCCCAACATTAATCTGAACGTGGACTATGAGCTCATGCGTGTGCAGAGCAGCCTTAACCATTCTCTAGTGTAAACACCTCAGCCGGGGGCAAGATGGCAAGTTGGGTCTTTTGAGGACAGGTTCCCAGATGGGATGGTCTGAAGGAAGAGGAGCCAAGCATGAGTCATGGACTTGGTTCTTCTGCCTCCTCATGTCTGACCCACTAATGTCTCTGTGAGGTGTGTGTGTGGGGGTGGGGTGGGGTGGGGAGTAGCTTGGGAGGGAGTGCTGAATAGAGGGAGATAAAAAAACCCCATTTGTCCTTTACCTGTGTCCTTTTAATCTGTCCTTACACTCCTTACTTAACTCCATGTCTTATAGCTTCTCTTTGGGTTGTCTGGTGTGGTGCATGGCATTGTGGTGTCTTAAAGGAACGGATGGTTGATAGGGGTCTAAGCCCCATTGGTGCTGTGGGTCTGCAGGTGGGTCTGGATCTGCACTGGGAGTCTTTCCCTTCCCTTCTCCCTTCCTCTCCAGCCAGGTCCTGCAAGGGTCAGCCCAGGCTGCAGACCATCCACAGAAAGCCCTGGAGTTTGCAAGTGGACATAGGGTGAGAGCTCTTGCCTCTTTTCCTGAGAAACAATCCGAAGTTTTTGCTGCCCTGGGGAGCTGGCTCTAAGGCTGTGGACATGTTTTGGTTTGTGTTACTCACTGGAGGAGCAGACAGTCCTTTGCTGGTGTGGAGTGGGCTGGGGCTGGGGTGAAGTCCAGATCTTACAGATTCACAGTTCAGACATTTTGTCCTGTGGTGCTCAGTTTCTTTGAATTCCAGTAGCTTTCCTGCAGCCCATGGTCTTTGGGGCTGTTTAAAAGCACCCCGATCTACCATTGAGCCGTGAATTTCTCCAGGCAAAAGGCAGGGTGTTCAGTAAATTCAGTAAAGCTGCTCATCATACTTTTTAGAATAATTTCCTTAAGCTAAGTTTTTACATGAAAAATTATTTTTTGAGCATGAAAGTTTTGATAATGAATTTAGCCTCTTATTGGGGCATTTTGTTGGTATTGGAAAGCTATCTCAGTATTCCAAGGAGTCTCCTGAAGTTTGGCTCTTGGAAGTTTCTATGTGTCTATTACTTGCTTAAAAGAGATTCTCTCTGCCTTGGCCCCAGGGCCTTGTCTGCTGAGCTCAGAACCAGTTCACCCGTGTACACTTTCCTAAGGGACAGATCTAAAGGTCTCCTGAGATTTTTCAGAAGAGACAGGGGACTCCCTATCTCTCAGCTGGTCTTGTGGGGCCAGCTGGTGAGCGAAAGTTAGCAATTTTCTATGAGACTTTGTCTTGTGATAGAAAGCTTTTTGAATGATTCTTATCCGAAACAGTCCTTGGACTGTGCTGTAGAAGTTTTGAAATACATGCATGCTTGGGTTCCCTTGAGTCAGGCTGAGTACTGCCTCAAAATCTCTGGGTTTGGAGCCTAGATCTGTGGGTGTTTAAATTACTTCCTTAGTGGTCAGTCCACTAAGAGTCAGTCCCAGGTTGAGAGGCCATTTGAGGGGCTGGGGAGATGTCTCAGCCGTTCAGAGAGAGCACATGCTGCTCTTCCAGAGGTCTAGACCATGGTCCCTGGCATTCATGATGAGGGGCTTACAGCAAGCAGCCTGTAACTCGAGCTTCAGGGGATCTGGTGCTCTCTCCCCGCTGTCCAGGTACTTCGTATATGTAGCTTATATATACATAGACATACAAATACACATAAATCCCATTTTATTAAGCTGAATAGAAAAATGCCAATATATTGGTATCTTAGGCAAGAATGTATCAGACTGGAAATTGTGAATTCTTGGTTCTGATGCTGGGACAGAGCACAGTTTTGAATGAGTTACCCCCTCAAAGGCAGGCTGCTTTGTTAGAAAGGTGTTCTAGTCCCATCTTTTACCTTGGCATCACAGGGGGATTGCAGCACATTACTGACTTAAACACGTACCCTTGGATCCACACTGAGAATGTAGGCAAGGTGAAGGTACATGGAGATGGAGCCTGATGGAGGTGATCATCACAGGCGGCTGACTTCTGGCCTTGAGTCCTTTACCCATCCATCCTTTAGAGAATACTTGAGTCAGTTTCAGAGGCTGCCTGGATTCCTGAAACTCATCCAAGACAATGACACTGGGAATTCCTGTTAGGCAGTGCTCCTTGTCCCCTCTGGACCTTTGTTTGTGGACACTAGCCTTGGTGAGGAAAACACATGCAGAAAGACAAAACAGAACAAACATTCTCCGTTTCCTTGCCCTGGATATTACAGACAATACAACAACCAACCAACCCTTAGGAGGCCAGGCATGTATGCGTGTGAGGGCGGGCCAACTGGGACTGGATAGCCTATGCGGGGGAAGGCTTATTCCTGGAGGAAACTGAGTCTCTCTCTCTCTCAGCAGCCTTGATTGAGGAGGTTTTTCTGCGTACATGTGTATACATGTACAATTAACTAGAAGAGATTATGACCTGGAAAGAGAGTAGGGAAATGTTGGCGGAGTTGGACGGGAAGCAGGAGGGCTAGAATACAGTACTCATGTATAAGATACTAGAAATAAAATTTAAGAAGACAGAGGATGTAATTGGTGAATGGATTATCAAAAGAATCAAACAGGCTGGGAGAGCTGACATAGGAGGAGAGGATAGCCTGTCTTCGGACTGTTTTCTGGCTCTACGGCTATGAGACCCCAGAGGTTTGGGATGTCCTCTCCCACAGTGTGAGGATGAGTTGTGGTCTCGGCGGTATGTCTGGTACTTTTACATGGTTCCTTTGTCTCCTGTTGAGTTATTAGCAGCTCTGGTCTAAATTGGCATCCAGTCCTTTCTCCTGCTGCCAGGTAAGAGTAATTCAGAGCTACTGAGTGGGAAGAGGAAGAACACTGGTCCAACAACTAAGGATCTAGGCTCCAAGAGGAGCCGTTGCTGACCACTTGAGCTAGCTTGTTGTAAATACCGTCTTCAGGGGCGCTTCGCTGAACCGTCATTCTGACTCAGTCCGCTCCTCGCTCTCCCGGCTTCCCTGTTAGTTCACTCCTGGTGCAAGAAGAGCTGGGGAAGTCTTGTTATCCCTGGATAACAAGGAGTGGAAGTTGGAGCTGAAAAGCAGCAGGGTTTCAACATCCTTCACCTTTTAGAGCAAGATCCTTCAGAGGAGCTGAGCAGGGGAAGCAGGAAAACAGTGGAAAGTGCCCTTACTCCAGAGCTGAGGGAAGTTCCACTTCTCATCTTCCCGCCTTGTTACTTAGGGGTGGGAGATGACCCTGCTGTGCCTGTGTCTGTATCACAAGCCCCTACCAAGAAAAGGTGACTTGTACCTGTATCGAGGCTTTCAGTTTTGCTGTGGAGGGAATAGGTGAAGACTTGAATCTACCTGTGTAAAATGGAAGAGAAAGTAATAGTCTGTATTTATTTATTTATTTATTTAGTTAGTTAGTTATTTTTAAACTCAAAGCTGAATGGAAGTTGAAACCCCGAAGAATGGTGGGAGTTGTAGCTCAGTGGTAGAGTACTTGCCTAGCACGCAGGAGGCCCTGGGTTCAATCCCCAGTCCTGGGGAAAACGAAAACAACACTGAGTGAGAAAGTCAGGCCATGGATTGGAGAGAGAAATCTAGAAGAGAGTTAAAGAACCACTACTGTCCCGTCTTGTTTCCAAACTAGAATTTAGCGCTTACTGATCATTGATGTAGGACCTTTTCTCTTGGTAAAGGAACCATTTCATAATTTTTAGACAGGCGTTATGCTATATGTTCCTAAGTTCCTGGTTCCTAAGAAGTCAGTTAGGGATGCAGCAGGATTGTGTTCCTAGACCATTAAATGGTTGAGCATTTCAGGCAAGGATCTGAGTAATCCTCTTTGAAAACCACAGTTGATCCCCCAGGCCCCTCATTTGAGAAAACAGTATGATTGTTAGGGAATAAGCCTGCCTGAGGATTCTTCTGGGACAGGTGTCATCTGAGTTCCAGAGAAGCTCTTTAGTGTTTAGAGTGGCCAGTGAACGGGGAAGCACGTCAGGTGCCTGAGGTAGCTCCTAGTGATGGGGTTTCACGCACATCCCCCTGCCCTTGCTAGTCTCAGAAGAATGTTCTGTTTGTTGAAGTTTTAGTAAATTACCCAGTTTTCCTTGTATTCATTTTTACTTGTTTGTGTTTTAAAGCATTTTTATTTTAAAACTATGTAATATGTAACAGTTGAGCCAGGTAGCAGGACTGCCGTGCAAGATCTTGACTTTTCCCTAGAGGTGGTGGACACACATCAGAAGTGTGGCTGAGAATTTTGTTTTATAGTGTCCAGAAGACGAGAGGTCTGTTTGCCAACTGTCTCTCATTTCTCATTGTCCTGATTGGTAGTCTGTTTACATCACTATAATTCCCCACCTATTACACACGTCCTTTAAGAAAGGAACTGGATATTATACTTGTTTCCTTTATGGAGAAGTTCTGTACACTATGACTTTTCATAGATAATTATTGTGTAATAGTGGCCAACTTCTCATTATTTTTTAAAAGATGATGTTGTAGATTACTTGTATGGCATTTTGTGATCCTAGCTAAGGTAATGCTATAAGAGTTGTGAGTTACAGAAGTACAGTAACAATGAAGTTGTGACTTTACTTGAAGTTATTTCATCCAGTCCCCTGCTTCAGGGTAGGACTTCCTTTTTACCATCCATTTCTGAACCTAATGTCTCCTCATACTATGCTGTCATGTACTCTCACTGAGAATGCTGCTGTTTTTAGTCTGCTGTGTGTTTGGCCTTAATCTTACACAAAGGGAAATGTGCATTCAAAAACTGATCTCAAGAGTGACTCAGAGTATTTCTTTTCTTAAGCCTTTCACTGGGTGTGTGACTAATATTCATGTGACTCACTTTTTCAAGAAACTTCTGAATGGTGTGTAGTTTTTTGTTGTTGTTGAGGCAACAAGGTCAACTTACTCAGATGTGGTGACTTTTCTGTGGCAAAGGGCCTATCACCAATGGGGAGTGTGATACAGAGAGGGCCGAGCACTGCTGGTCTGGATTGGGGAGTGTGATACAGAGAGGGCCGAGCACTGCTGGTCTGGATTGGGGGTGTGATATAGAGAGGGCCGAGCATTGCTGGTCTGGATTGGGGGTGTGATATAGAGAGGGCCGAGCATTGCTGGTCTGGATTGGGGGTGTGATATAGAGAGGGCCGAGCACTGCTGGTCTGGATTGGGGGTGTGATATAGAGAGGGCCGAGCACTGCTGGTCTGGATTGGGGGTGTGATATAGAGAGGGCCGAGCACTGCTGGTCTGAATTGGGAGTGTGATATAGAGGGGCTGAGCACTGCTGGTCTGGATTGGGGTGTGAAATAGAGAGGGCCGAACACTGCTGGTCTGGATTAACGTGGGCTGAACTTAGGAAGCCCAATAACAGAATTTTATTGCAGATTTCTTAGGCACAGGTCTGCTGAAAGTGGGGATGTCAATCCTTAGTAGCATTCTGATTTATTCTCATGATAACTGATAATGAAATACTGCGTTGGGTCCATTTAAAGTGTATATAATTGTATTCAAAATGTGTTTTATGTGCATGTCTGTATAGAATGGGTTAATAAAGTTGTTGAGTAACTTGACCGTATCAGAAGGCTTCTGGTTTTATTACTATTATTATTATTATTATTATTATTATTATTATTATTATTATTTGGTTTGTATTCTGAGTTGTTCTTCCCATCCACTGTCTTCTAACACTGCCTCATGCTAGACAAGCTGAGACTTAGCAAACCACTAGACGTTCTCAGAATGCCTGGCGTCTAGGGTCATGGGCATGGCTCTCTTCCACCTCCTTCTGGGGGAAGGTGGGAAGGACATGCTTGGTAGTACATCAACTTTAGTTGTCAGTCACTTGCACCTTCTGGTACCTGTGCAAGAATTAAGAACTGCAATAGACCACACTACACGGAGCTTCTGTTATCTATTGTAAAGAAAAATTTGGGAGGTCTTTCAAAATTTACCGGGCTGTTGTTTCTAAAATACATCCTGTCTGTTTCCAAGCAGACTTCAGCCAATGGTATCAGATAGTACTCAATTTCTCCTGGAGCAGAAGATACCAATGGGTATCCACTGTTCTCTTGCCTTATCCCACATTGCGCCAGCAGGGACTCAGAGCTCATTAGTAATTCAGAATCAGAGGCTTCCTTCCAAACCTACTAAACCAGGATTTTAACAAGATCACTAGGTGATTGGATTCATAGGTACATTTAATACTTGAGAAGCAAACTTTCTAAGGAAAAGAATTTCTTACAAGGTAAATGTTCAATACCAGTTCATGGGAAGAAGTTGATCTGCTCTGGCTACTGGTTTCAGGGTGGACTGGGGTAACCATAACAGTTGGGACCCTCCTCAGAAGCCCTATAGCATGTGACTTCATTGCTACTCTGTGTGTGTGTGTGTGTGTGTGTGTGTGTATGTGTGTGTGTGTGTGTGTTCTCTTGGCTGATGTAGCCTGTATTACCACAGAGATCCAACCTATCTCTGCTTTGTATCTTAGATATGTAACTTACAGTCCAGTTCTGAAACAGACACATACCTTGTTATTGTCATAAGGTCAGCTTCTCTGGGAAAGAAGCCATTAAATGGCTAGGCCATTAATGTTTACCTGAGTCCCCAGGTCAAGGTGTGTGTAGGCATACCAGTGTGTCCTCACATGTGTGTGGATGTGGGGATGTGGTGACGAACAGTTGGGGTTGGGGATGGATTCTCACTTTTCTTTGGGCATCTGGCTGTGGTATAATGGCTTTGCTTCTCTTTCTGACTCCTAGGAAGTGGATACTGTTCTGGCTGAGCATAGACGCCCCTCCATGGCATCCCTCACATTGCTCTCCTGATGGTGTGAGGCTGAGCCAGACCTCTCCGAGGAACTGGATCTACTAAAAAGCCTGGGATGCCAGCATCACTGAGGCTAGAACAGGAAATTAAGTGGGAACTTCTCATTTGAGGCTACCAAAACTGAGGCCTGGAAAACCTTCATACGTTTCTTCCCTTCATGCCTAACCAGGATTATTACTACACTGTGCCTCAAAAATCTTTAACAGCCTGAACGAGTTAGTTCTTATGTCTTTGTGGAATTTGCAAATGCCATTCTACTTAGGCATTCAATATTCTACCTGTGACTGCTGCCTGCATCGTTAGCTGGGGGTTTCCCTAACATGCAAATGTACTGCTTTAGAATCGGTTTCTAGGTGAGGATGAGCTTCAGGAAGCCCTTCCTGCTCAGTGAGAGCTGCCCATTGCATCCGTTGGAGGTGAACAGGCTGAAGTGCAGTCTGAGTACTAGCCGGTACCTCTGGCAGTGTGGGAAATGAGACATACGACCAGGTAAATGGAGGGCGTCAGGAGCTCAGCTCTGAAGTGCCTCTTCCCTGGTGACAGAAGAGTAGTATCCATGGCTCCCTTTTCAGTTAGAGAAGTTTTTCTTGTTCCATACTCTTTGGTGCAGGGTCTGGCTGCCAGACTTCCCCAAAGGGGACCAGCCTTTACCTTCGTTTGTAGCTAGTATGTTTTCTCTCTGAGGCTTGTGCTTCACATAGCCGGAGAGGACGGATTCAGTGCCTCCTGAGGGGTTGAGAATGAAGGCTAGGTCGGACCATCTCCATCCCACCAGGAAATAAAGATGGCTTCTTGATAATAAATAGGCAGAGGCAGACATGGCCCTCACATCTGTCTCGTTGATATGGTGTCTGGGAAAGCTGTGGCTCTGACTGTAAAAGCAGTGGTCCTGTGATGGGGGGCCTCTGATCTAGCTGTCACTACTGTGATCAGCTGGTCCCCCGTGACACTTGACAGATGGAGCATGGCCTCTATGCATCAGTGAGTGGATGCCCCTCCCAGATGAGTCAGATTACTGTTCCTAGATCACTGAGTGTCAAAAGTGTACACTCCGTCACTACGAATGCTCTTCTATTGTGTTGATCCTGAAGAAGAATGCAGAAGCCACAAGTATATATTACCTCCCAAGTAGAATCTGGTGTTTTTTCACTTTGTTTTTGTTTATTTCCTTTTCACTTGAAATGCTCACTTCTTGGGCAGAAAGATTGTAGCAAGAAAAGTCATGAAATACAGCTTTTTCTACATGGTTCTTTTATATATCGTGGACAGTACTGGAGACGGTTACCTAAGTAGGATGTGGTGAACTGCGGGCAGTTCAGTGTCTCCCACCTTGCAGCTTACTTTATATACATATCACCTGGAGGAAGACACCTTGCTCTGCTTAGTGTAGGGAATGTCCCTTGGCTGCTTGCAGCATGCTGTACTACAAGGCTTTTGTTCTTGTGGTACGGGCTGATTTCTGTATTGAAGTACACTCCTTTCCAATGGTCAGATGGTATTTTTATGAAGCTATTTATTGTGTGTGAGGATTTTGCATGTATTTAATCAGAATGTCATCTGTGTTCTGTGTTCTGTTAGCTGTGTAGGTGACTTGAATCCTAAGCCAAATGTCCATAGTATTACCTTAGGTTAAATTTGTAGAGCATAAATACCTGTGTGTGTAAAAGAATGATAACTATGTTATGATAGTGCATTTCTAACATTTTTTTCATTAATTTTATTATAAACCAAGAAATGTATTTCTCTGGAGAAAAGTTCTCTCTTGGATAGTAAAACCATGCTGAAATATCTGAGTTACATAAACTGCTTTTGTAATAAAATAAAGTTATTTTTAATTAAAAGGTGCAATGAAATTTTCAATTCATACACAAAAAGACATCATTTGGTACATTACGGATGCACATAGTATTAGTATTTTCCAAAATGTGCTTGAAAGTTTTGAAAGAACTGATTCTGAAGTTATCAAGTGTTAGCTATGTTTCCAGCTGTTGGTGTGTCGATCAAGTTCCTCTAGCATTTCAAAGTCCGTGGCATTGTTACAGCCATGCATTGTTACTAGGCTAGACATTCGTTCATTGGTGTACAAGTATTTAATGACTGCCGCTTGATTGCCAGGTGACGACTCAGTCCCGTTCTGGGAAGCCACAGACAAGCAGGTTAAATGTACCTTCTTAAGTTGGGGGATGGTATTAATAGCCTTGGAGGCCTTTGAAGATGGGCCCTTCCCTCCTGGTGGAATTTTGAGCCCATTTCTTGCTTCTTTGGTAACACTAGAAAGGCAAGCACCATAGGATTTAAATTACTGTATGAAAAGGCAAAGTCATTGTTGAGCTCTGTTAGGTAAGGCTACTTCCTCCTGCTCAAAAAAGCAGGGTCTAAGCTTTACCTCTGTTCCTGGGTGGAGAGCTGACATTCTAAGCCTCTCAAAACATAACGCTATTTTCTTTTAAGAGTTAACCAGCTAGACTGGTCAATCACCTGGCCAGGATCCCGCCACTCCCCCACCCCAAGTCACCCCAGGAAATCTGATTTACTTGATGCCATGTTAAGGAGAGGAAAGAATAATTAATAAAATCGAGCAGCATCCAGGAAGAGGTAGCTGTAAACTGATAATGAGGTGATGTCCTTCCAGAAGCTTCTTCGGGCAGAGAGTGCTTCCCTTGGGCAACACTGCAGAGGCCCTCTGCTTTCAGAAACGTACACCTTTCCCTTCCTTCTTTCTTTCCAATCAGCCCAAAGTAGAAGTAGGCACTCTGGGATTTCTCATTCTTTCTCTTAAGTACCCCAACCCCAGTCCCAATGCGGCTGCTTGCCAACCTCCAACCTCCATTGCGTACTACATGGCTTTATTTCCTCCTCTTCACCACCTCGCTCCTCATGGCAGCTGCCAGGGTTTGCAGGCTTGCCTATTCTGTTGTTCTTTCCTGCAAACTCTAATAAAATCATTTGCAAGTTTCCTTCTGACTCTGTTTTAAAATTCTTTTATCAACTAGATTAAGAACCCAAAAAGAAATTCTTAGTTTCCCGGTAGTACTTGAACTTCCAGTCTTCAGTGCTGAGCATGGGCCTGAGGTGGCTAATGTGGAAACTGATCTGGTATGGATGAATGTACTGAGGCATTCAAAACAAGACTGCTTTGGCTCAGAGCAAGGCCACTGCTGCCTCCAAGGAAGACCGCTATCAGAGTTATTGATAATGAACTCTAGCTATAAAATGTGGATGCCGGCTCGAGACAGGTGGTTGTGTTGAGCTATTTCTGACTCAAGGCTGAAGACTGTCATTGCTTCTAACAATGCTTTACTTCTTCCAGAACACTGTAACATTGAAACACTGGCTGACTGCCCATGAAACTCCTACCACCAGATCAAAGCCGCCCCTTCAGTGGCCTCTGGGTAGACTTGGCCTCTCTCGTGTCTTTCCCACTGTGGTGGTACTGAAGTCTGTCTGATAAACTCAGCTTCTGCCTTTGTGTCTTTGGTGCGCTCATTCCCAGCTTACGTTATCTTCTCTGCCTGTCAGTACTATTCCTGGCACAGAAGAGGATTTAGAAAAGGAGGGAGGAGGTGACACTCAGTTTGCTCTTCACTGGGAAAGCACCATCGATCAGCACCCCGTCTTCAGCCCCCAGAGCTGGAGAGAGCTGTAGGCAGTGGACTGTAAAAACACTGGCAAATATTGACAGAAGTCAAGGTCGTGGAGGACCATTTGGCCCATGCCTGTTGGGGAAGGATAAACCTGCAGTTTAAAGTGACTGGTCAACTGGTTTGCATTTCTAGAAACTGGGAAATTTCTTAAAAGTTTAAATCTGGCAGCTCTCTAATCATCGTTTGTGGTGCAGAGCCACGGACTGCACTGTCTTCTTCCTGCCGTCCGTTCTTCCCTGTTACAGGAAGGGCTTTTCTTTTTCACGTCTGTTCCAGGAGGAAGATAGAACTTCTCTAGAAGTTCTGATCCTAAGAGGTTAGAAGGGCTTTTGATCTAAATCACGGTTTAATTTCACTCTGGGTCAAGTAACTGCTCGCCAAATGCTCTGTTGGGTTGTGTGCTGTCTGATGTGGCTGATTTCTGCCTTAGATGGTAAGTGTGATTTCCTTACAAGATAGCTCATGTCAATTTGTGGTTTAAGAGGCATTCTGTATACAGTTTTAATGAAATTTACATTTATAATATTTATTAGAAGTTCTCAATTATGGAATATGCTCTATACTCATGGGGGACCTAGTATATATTAGTGGTGATCTTGCTTCTTCTGATGGTCATTGCTGATTTGCTCTTTTTATTCTGGGACCCCAAAAAGTGACAATTTCAAAATCCTGAGATGCCAACTATTGAAAACTCTAGGACTGATACTTAGGAAGGAATTGCTTGTTCAGGAATGGATAACTTGTGGTTGAGTTTGACTACAGTGCCTATGATCTGCTTGGAAACGTAACTTCAGAAATTCCTGGAGAATGAGGATTGGGATGTACATGCAATGGGAGAGAGAGGACACAGTGTGAGAGGATTAGTTCCCCAGAGACTTGGCGGGAGGAATTCAGCGGGGTGCCCTTACAGCCAGTGATATGCCACACGATTCTGTTCTCTGTTGTCTTTCCAACAGAGAGCTGTTCGGAAGTTCCTCCAGTGGACAACAGTGTGTTCGTTGCAAAGGAAGAAGAAGGACAGATTATGGGGGTGTACCTTTGTATCAAAGGCTACCACCTGGTGGGAGAGCAGTCTTTGGCCCTCAGTCTCTCAGAGGAATGGGAGGGCTCCTCCCCTGAGTGCCGCTGTGAGTTTGGTTTTTCTGTTCACATCGACATCTCCTATATTCTATTATATCCTGCGTCCCGTAGGCCATGTTAAAATTGTAAAAACAAACAAACAAATAAAAACAACTCAATTTCTAAGAAGCTATTCTCCATCTCTCCCAGGTGCTTCAGAGACAGGACCTTGCTACCGTAGCCCATCATGTTGGCCTGGAATTTGATATGTAGCCCCTAGTGCCTTGGAACTTACAACCTCTCTGCCAGTGCTGGGATTCCAGGCACATCACCCATGCCTGTCCATCATGTTACTTTTAAATTAGGAGAAACTGTATTCTCAATTTACATATCTGATAAGTGAGATTAAAGTGGCTTGCTCCAGGTAGCAAAACTCATTATGTTATCTTATCTTCTACAATGACAGAGCATAATTCTTCCAGATCAGTTTGTTATTATACTTTCTAATAAGCTGTGTTAATTTTATGTATACATGACATTTTGAAGTTTCTTCCATGTGAAAAAAATTTACATCCCTCTCCATTGACCCCTGATTTTCAACAAGAAAGAAATAATTAAAATACATAAGAAGAAAGAAAGAAAGACATGAGTAAGTATATATTTGGCTACGTGAAAGAAAAGGAAAGCTTGAAACATAGGCTTAAGATGTTTGAACCGTGTTCACCGTAGCAGTATAGTGGACATGCTACTGGTAATAGCTAGTTACGCCCTTCATGATGTGTAGTCCGGTTGTCAATCATATCATTCTTATACATGACCATGTTTGTAACACTATCCCATGAAAAATGTCTACCATTCCAGATAGGGAATTAATGGCAGACCAAAGTTAAGGATACTGCTGAAGTCCAGCTTGGTGAATCAGTGAGTTTATTGGGGTTATTTACAGAACTAGGGGTGAGGGCTTACTTAACAGGAGCCGGACTGACTCAAAGACGGCCGGCCGCATTATCGAAAGCCCACCCCGGCATTTATGATGGCTCACAAAAGCTGGGAACCTGCAGCTCTCTGTACAACTTGCAGGCGAGCTAAACAGGTTGAAAAAAAAAATCTCTTCCAGGCCACTCAGCTGGTCTGAGCAGCTCCCAGCAGTCCTTGTTGCTTGTGTAACCTTAGGGAGGGAAGAACCTTGTGAATCTAGTCAGATTCAGGAAGTTCCTGAGGCTTCTTAGCTGTTTTCTTGCTGAGTCTTTTTCCCTTTAGAACTTCCAGAGTCTTAATGAGCCTTCTTTTGAAGGTCGTCGGTCTTAAGGAGCTTTGGAGGAAATTTCCACACAACAGACCCCATTCCTTTTTGTCCACTGTTATGGTACCTTGGCCTTTTCTCATCCTGCATGGGTATGGTTTGATAATCATATCCTCTTAGATATGATAAACCTATCCTCTTAGATATATATGCACCATTAAGTACCGAGTTACTATTATCTTTCTGAAGCTTGGGGAAGCGTGACTTTTACTCCATTCTAGCCTTGTAGAGCACTGACTGTTCTCTTCTCCAGTGGGCCACTGTCCCGAGCCTGTACTGGAAAATGGCAGGATCAATTATTCTGGGCCTGTGAATGCAAGTGACAAAATCGTGTTTAAGTGCAATGATGGTTACATTCTCAAGGGAAGCAATTGGAGCCAGTGCCTAGAGGACCACACCTGGGCACCTTCCTTGCCCATATGCCGAAGTAGTAAGTACTGATTAGTATTGTCACTCTGGGTTAAAATTGCTTTTTGGTGCCATATTAGTGTATAAACCAGAATAAAACCTTCACCTTCTGTCTTGTGAATTACTTTTCCTTCCCCTACGACACAAACTTTAATTGTTCTTTTTTTCCTCTTCCCTCCCCTCCTCTCCCAACTTCTGATCCTCCTGCCTCCACTTCAGGAATGCTGGGATTATTGGTGTGCCACCATTCCTGTTATCCGACGCTGGTGCTTGAACCCAGGGCTTCATGCATGCTAGGCAGACACTCTACCGGCTGAGCCACAGCTTCCACCCTAATTTGCCTTCTTTTGCAAATTAGGTTGGCAGCCCTACAGTGTGTAGCTCCGTTCCTGGAGCTCTGCCAGTCAGAAAGGATTCCCGGTTGGTTCCTTGTAACTCAGGGGGATGAGCTGGGGAAAGAGTCTTTTCCATGGACAATTCTGATTTTCACGAGAAAGAATGGGTGGAAAGCATGCTCCCGGCTCTCACTTGTACCAACGTGAAGATGGCGGACTGTAGAGCACACACAGTGTACTATCCTGTTGATTGTACCCGGCTCCCACAAATCTCACTCCAGGTCGTCTTCCCCTTAGGAGACTGTGACCCTCCTGAGATTCCTAGCCATGGCTACTTTGAAGGAGAATCTTTCACTTCGGGGTCTGTTGTTACTTATTACTGTGAAGACAGGTAAGCGTAGAGTACCCTTTATATCCCAGTTGGGGCAGTTCCTTTTCTATTGCCGTGATAAAACACCACAGCCAAGACAACGTGTACAAGGAAGGGTTGATTTGGGTTGATGGTTCCTGAGGGATAAGAGTCCATGACTATCATGACAGGGAGCATGACAGCAGGTGCAGGGTGGCTGGGGAGCAGCAAGCAGGGGGCTCACATCTCGAACTGCAAGCACTTAGCAGAGAGCATGAGTCTTTCAATTCTCATAGCACCCCTCCAGTGACACACTTCCTCCAACAAGGGCATCCCTCCCCGAACAGTGCCACTAACTAGGAATGAAGTATTCAAGGGATGGAGACTGTGGGGGACATCTTTTTCAGACCACCACCCTAGTGAAAGTATTCTATTTGATGGTTAATGGGGGTATCCACACTGTTGGAGTTCTCTTCTGAGGGAGAATGTGCTATCTACATATCTAAGATATTCTCACTTATTCTAACTGCTACAGTTATCAGTGCTGTACCCGACTGTGGGTGGGTCTACCGCTAACACATCTAGCCTCCAGTGGGTGAGTGGTCAGTATCTTGACAACAGCTTCTAGGCCAATGGGTTCTGTGGCTATTAAGACTTCATAAGTAGTACACCCTTATTTTTCCACAGACACATGCATGGATAGCACCTTATCGTGTGTGAACTATCTACATAGCCTGTACTTGGTCCACAGTTTGTTTTGCTTCCTTGAACACTGTGGAATGAGCTTCTGACTGTCCCATACCTTCCTTTGTATTTGAATTGTAGAGTGGCCTTAAGTGGGAGGGGCCAGACGTTGGGATGGAAGCCCTCTAGTATCAAATCAGCCCTGCAGATTTCTGTGTGCTCTTACCCATGTAGAAAAGGAGGAAAGCCTGTGCCTTGTCTGTTATATTTGTGGCAATACTTTCATTTTATTGTAACAGACAACACTCAAATATTTCATAAACAATCCAGGTCCTTGGACCTTGTTTGGATTAATGTCTCCTCAGTGTAATGCAATATTTGACCAGTTGTTGGTTTCAGTCCATTCCTCTAGGTCAGATATTGTTATCCCATGGCATATTGTGAGACTGTGTAAATAACCCTGGAGAACCATGGTGAAAGTCCACTGATGGCTTTCCCAGATGAAAGGCGAAATATTCTTGCCTTTCAACTACTATATCAGAGCTGAAGAAATCACTGGACAAATCCAGTACATAGAGCACAATGGTGATGGCCCAGTTGTATTTCCAAGACTTTAACAGTGTTAAGTATAGCCAAATACAACTTATTTAATGTTCCCGGTAACCAGCTATCTTAAGCTGGGTCCTATCAGGTCCCTGGATAGGGGATGACAATGAATTAAAGGGATTACACACAAGCATTGTGATGTTTACCTTCCCCAGTTCATGGATTGTTTCTGTGATCTCTTGGTGCTCCCCCATACCTTTAGAAAGTACTGGTAGATGGCCTTGGCGTCAGTGGAGTCACTGGTGTGGTTTCTCGAGATTGGCTTTATGGCCAAGACATGTTTGTTTGTCATGCACCTGTTTCCATGGTAGTTTGCAAGAACTTTCCCCATGATACATCTACTCTCACAATATATTCAGGGTTATGGCATAGACCTTTGGGGGCATATGCCCCAGACTTAAAGTGAGAACTGGGACTGTTTGTCCACCAGAGTTCTCAGTTCCTGCTAAATGGTTCTGAAACTCCTCTGGAGTTCCAGATCTGTGTATTTTTGGCACCTGGAGCTGTCTGCATTGTGACTCTTTCTGTGTTACAGGGACCAATATGTAGCCAACTCTGTATGAGGAGCCTGTTTCAGGGACGTGGAGCCTGGGAACAAGTGTCTGTTCACTGTTTTCTCCAGAACCAGGGGCTCACTGTACTGTCTGGCTCAGGGGAAGCCTTGTTTCTCATGGCATTTCCAGCTGGAGGATGGGCCCAGATTTTCCCTTTTATTCCCTCACACACACACGGGTGCCTATTCTGGAGTTCTAAAGGTACACACTGTCTTTTCAGGAATAGGAGTTGGAATCTTTTCTTTTTTTTTTGGAGCTGAAGATCGAACCCAGGGCCTTGTGCTTGCTAGGCAAGTGCTCTACCACTGAGCTAAATCCCCAACCCTAAAGTAGCATTTTTTTTTAAATTTATTTATTTTTTTCAAAACAGGGTTTCTCTGTGTAGCTTTGCGCCTTTCCTAGAACTCACTTGGTAGCCCAGGCTGGCCTCGAACTCACAGAGATCCGCCTGGCTCTGCCTGCCGAGTGCTGGGATTAAAGGCGTGCACCACTACCGCCGGGCTTGGAATCTTTTCTTAAGGGAGTGATTTCCAAAGTTTTATTGTCCAAATTTGGCTGCTTGTCTCTTTTTTTAAAAACGTATTCTTGCCTGACAATTTCATACATGTAAATAATGTATTTTGGTCATTTTCATGCCCCCCCCCCCATTGCCTCCTTTCACTCATCTCTCACCCAGTTCCACCCAATTCCTTCTTTCCAACAAGTTTCCCTCATATTCCTGCTGTGTTGGGGGACACCCACTGAGTTTAATTGGGGCTGCTTGCATTTGGGAGGCTCCCTGGGCCACTCTGCATGACTCTTTCACCCCGCTTCTGTGTTTACTTATTCTGAGTACAGCACACCCCTGTAGTTTGTCTTCCTCTCCACTGAATCTGTCACCATCTGAGCCTTCTAGTATTGTTGGCATAGCATAGCAACCTTCTGGATATCAGAGCTCAGACCTGACTGGAGGTACCCAGTGCAAGATGCCATCTCTCATCTCTACTGTACACGTCATTGTAAGCACCAGAAAAAGTCACCACACACATTGTGTGTTTCATTCCAGAATGACTGCAATTCCTCCACGGGTGTCTATATTTCACTTGGCATGGGGTTGTCTTTAGAGTTGGACCAAGCATGTCTAGTGACAGTCGTTAACCATGCCGCCAGTACTCCGCATTACCTTGTGGTGGCTGACTATGACAGCTGCCCCAGTACTGGAGAGATGCCACCAGCCTTCGTGTCCCACAGTCTCAGTAGGAGGCACACACTCTGTTTTTGATTGGACTTGGCTCTCAGTTCCACTACCTCTAGAGGAGTGGAGGGGTGTCTTAGGGGGATACAGGCAGATGGTGTGAGTCCTTATCGTCAGGGGATCTCCACATTAGGTTGTCTGTGTCTTGGTAGTCTGCTGCAGAGTCATACTTGTGAACGCTCATCTGCTAGCTCAAGCTTCTTTGCTGAAGTGTCTTTGCTGTTGACTTATGCCACTCTGGCATCTCTTTCTAACTTTAGTTCTCCCTATGATCTTTCCACTCATGAGCTCGTGTTATTTCCTTCTTTATCATTTATCTATCTATCTGTCTGTCTGTCTGTCTATCTATTTATTTTGGTTTTGCGAGACAGGGTTTCTCTGTGTAGCCCTGGCTGTCCTGGATCTCGCTCTGTAGACCAGGCTGGCCTCAAACTCTCACAGAGATCCGCCTGCCTCTGCCTCCCAAGTGTTGGGATTAAAGGCGTGAGCCACCACTGCCTGGCAAATTTTATTTATTTTTATTTTATGAACATTAGTGTTTTGACTGCATGTATGTCTGTGTGAGGCGGTCGGGTCCCCTGGAACCGGAGTTACAGACAGTGTTGAGCTGCCATGTGGGTGCTGGGAATTGAACCCGGGTCCTTTGGAAGAGCAGTCAGTGCTCTTAACCTTAGAGCCACCTCTCCAGCCTGTTATTTCCTTCTCGATGGCTTCTTTGAGCCAACATGATTGTCTTGCATTGGCAGCAGTGGCCACTCAGTTTTCCCACACTGATTTGTTGGTTGCCTTCAACTTGGCTAGCAATCTTTCTTGGACTTTTGAGGCGCGCACATACTCACAGGGAGCTTCCCACAAGTCACAGAATGGGGACACATCAAATCACATAGGTGGCTCTGGCCAGCCTAGGGTTTCCCTGGCAGAACCCATGTCCACACCCAGAATTTGCTCATACCCAGAATTCCCTTTTGGAATTCTGCTGACAAGGCTAGTTTTATGAAAACTCTCTCACCAGGAAGGCCTCAGAGGCTTTAGGGGTGACAACTATTTGAAGATACCAAAGGAAGAAATCAGCAGACTCCATGGGAGTTTGGACATCTTTTATTATCAAGCAATCCTTGGTAGCATCAGGCCAGAAAACAGGGATCTGCACCATGTTTACAGGCAGAGCAGCATCTATATACAGAGGGAGCAGAGGGAAAATGGATTCTAGTACTCAACGCTGCAGTAACGAACTTCTCATGGGCCTGGTCTGCTTGTCTACCAGGCCTTATATTCCTTCTCTGTTTTCCTGTCTTCAAAGGAGAGAAATGGCCAGTTAAACCCCGCCCCCTCCATCAACAGGTATGCCTACAGTCTGCAGAACATCTGCAAGAATGGGGTTGCTCTAACTGCCTCAGATACAGATAATGGGATATTTCCCACAGAATCCAAGAGCAGAAACCTTAAACAAAAAAATCAGAAATGTAATGATTTAGAGTTTGGACCCTTAAAGCATTGTAATAAGGACTAACCCTCCTTCAGATGGACTGGTCTCCCTCCTTGAAGGGGTTCCCTCCCTTTCTTTCTCTTGCTTTAATCTGGGTCATGTACCTTCTTCAGCCTTTAGGTCCCACTTGTCAGTTTTGAATCACCTTTTGCTTTTCTGATCACACACCACTGCCTTCATTTATCCCATTCACCTGTACCTGCATTTTAGAGCTTAATACAGATGCCTGTTTAGGTTATGATTGGTCAAACACTTCTTCCCTCACCCGTCCCCCCAAAACACACTGGCTCTGAAGTTTTTACTTTCCGCCATGTTAATCTGGGTTGACTCATCCCTTGGGTCTGCCCCCCATTTCAGGAGAGCTGTTTTGCTTCATAGCTGTTTTGTTAGAATGAGATAACTTAAGAGGACACTAAGGCTCAGGGGGCAGGAAGGTGGATTTGATCGCAGATTGAAACACTGAAATACAGCTACACAAAACCAGTCTCCATTGCTCAGCCTAGAAGATGCGGAGGCTAAGCGTTGTTCTGACATCTCCAGGTACCGTTTAGGGGGCACACGGAAGCTGCAATGCATTGATGGGGAGTGGAGCAGTTCCTATCCTACCTGTGAGCCCGTTCAGGAAGCCCCTAGACCTGCTGAACAGATTGCACTTGAGAAAGCAATTGTAAGTAGGGGCTGTTATCCGTTTTGTTCTTAGCTGCAGTCTCGGGCCTGACTTTACTCTTGGCATATGCTTAGTGGATATCTGTTCATTTCTGGGTAACCTTGACCTGATCGCAGAAGGGGGGTCTCATAAAATGCCAACTCACATTTCTAGATAACATTCACATTCATCATCACAAACACCTCACAAAACCTTCTTATGGGATGTATTGCCTCATTCAGCATATAAAAGAAGGTATATAATTATACTCAGTGCCTGGGATCTGGAAGTACTGGCCACTGTGAGAAGCTGATCCAGTTCTAGATTCCAACACATTCTGAACACATTTGTTTTCCTTCGGACTCACTTTGGCCTGTATTTATTCTTGGAGAAATATTAATGATTATATATTTAAACCAGAAAATGTAAATGACTGATGACATTGAGGGCTCAGATCCACGTGAACGTTCCCTGGGTTTGCAGCTTAGTGGTTTCAGAGTAGAGAACTGAATCTCAGCCCCCTGGTTGTAACTTTAAAGGTTTTTCTTCCCTTAGCTTGCCTTTCGGGAGATTGAGGACCTTTGTGGTGCCACAGAGAGCTTTGTGAGAAGACTGAAGGAAAGTGGAGTAACCATGGAAGAACTGAAGTATTCCCTGGAGATGAAGAAAACTAAGCTGAAGGCAGATATTTTACTGAAATATCATAGCTAAGCAAGATGGAAACAGAAATACCCTGTGAATAAACAGCTTCTGAAGGTGCTTGCAGGTCATTCCTTACTGAGCTGAAATGCAAGGTCATGTGGCCATACAACTGATGTGTGCTTTGGGGGCATGTGTGGGAATTTTACTAAGAATGTAGAAGGGCCAGCTCTGGTGGTTATCGGGTTCAGACCAGAGTTGACAACATGCTAATGGAGAATGTAGAGATTCATTCTTTGGCTGTGAGGGAAATAAGAAACCATGCATCTGATCTGAATGTACCTCACATGAGACATGAATTTTAAGTCAAAATTTTCTGAGATAGGAACTAACCTTTCAATCTGGAAAAATATACTTACAACAATTACATCTTTAAAGTTACCTACTGAGCCCCATACACCTCTCAAGCACCAAAGATTATTGCCAATGCTATTGATTATTGTTTCTGACAACTTGATAGTAAGTCCCTATTGCTGAAGACACCACATACTTAGGACATACCACATGGAGAAATCTTATCTGGTATTCAACTGGAAGTTTCATCCCTTCTGGGTAGTATTCACAGTGCTGGGAGGTTCTATACATGCTACCAGAGGAGAAAAGTAATCATTAATTACCTTCAGCTATGATGCTGCAAGCTATAATAATGATCCACGTACAAGCTCTGCCCATTGGCACAACAGTGGTACAAATGCTGGGGGAGTAACCAACCACTTTTTGATTGGCTTCAAGGCCTTCTTCATGAGATGGAACCCATCCCCGACACCGTGTAAGTGGCCAAGACCTTGAGACTAGAGAGGTCATAGGTCCTAGGGGAAATGTACCATTATGATTCTGCAAAAGGAACATAGCAATAAAATGACTCCTAATGACATACTGCCATATCCATGTATCAGTGCATCACTCAACACTCATCAGAGGACCTTCTTGCAGTAGGTGATAATTTAGACAGAGACAATTGGACAATATGCAGAGTAGAGACTTTGGAATTGCTCAGCTCTGAATGGGATTTTTTTTTTTCATCACACCACGACCCTTAAAACTTGGAGTTATGCAGAAGAGAGGGTGGAAATGTTTAAAAGCTAGAGGTGGTAGATGACGTTAAGGACACAGCATTTTCCAGACACAGTAGGAAAGACGCACATGTGACCTCACAGAAACTGTGACAGAACGCCAGGACCTGCACAGACTCAAACAGGAAAACATCCCAGCACGGAGGACAGGAAGTGGCCACAGCCCTGCCCCTAGCTAATAAGCTATTCTCAACTAATAGCTGCTGGGAAAGGGAATATCACTTCTCTTTAAAGGAGTAACATTGGTGTATCAGCCACATTCCAGGGCAGGCCCCATGTTCAGGAAGAGTTAGTCAACACAAATCAAACTCCATGGTTTTAGTAAATTTTTTCCTTTCCTTTTTTGTTTTTGGAGATGGGGTTTCTATGGTGTAGCCCTGGCTGTCCTGGAACTCTCTCTATACTCCAGTCTAGCCTTGAATTCCCAGAGATCCACCTGCTTCTGTAGACGAATTTCTAAACGGTCTTATTAAATAAAAAACACAGAGCCAGATATAGGGGTGAAAACCTGAGAGATCACGGAAATAGGGAAAGCCACAGGGAACCTCACCTCACCAACTCTGCAGCTTCCAAACGCAAGCTACTTCCTGTCTACCCACGCTTATATGCCTTGCTGTTCTGCCATCTGATTTGCTCTCTCTGTCCAGCTCCATCACTTCCTCTTCCTGCCCAGCTGGCTCTGTCACTTCCTGTTGTCTGTACAGACCTCCATGGTTAACTAGTGTTGGAATTTAAGGCGTGTGCCACCATGCCTGGCTCTGTTCCCAATGTGGCCTTGAACTCACAGAGATCCAGACAGATATCTGCCTGCCAAGTGATAGGATTAAAGTCGTGTGCTACCATTGCCTGACTTCTATATAGTGGCTGGCTTTTGCCTCTGATCCTCAGGTAAACTTTATTGGAAGACACAGTATGTTGGGGAACACAATACATCACCACATGATTCTGCTTCATGAAGGCTGAGATGAAAATTGTGTGCCACTATGGCCTGGCACTTTTTTTTAAAGCGAAAGAACATGAAGTCTTGTGGGTCGGGGGGAATTAGGAGTTGGAGGATGGGAAAATACTATAAAAATATACCATGTGAAATTCTCAAAGAATTATTAAGAACACTAAAATGTTTCCAACAAGATAAAAATAAGTAAAATGACCCATTGTGACAGAAGTCGAATTAGGCCCCAGACTCTTCTTTACATCTGGTTTATGAAGCCAGGTTTCTAAACCTCATGTGATAATACTGTTACTGCCTTTTGGATAACTCAAAAGCAGGGCAGTGGTGGAGCATGCCTTTAATCCTTGCTCACAGGAGGCGGAGGCAGGCCGATCTCTGTGAGTTCGAGGCTAGCCTGGGCTACACAGTTGAGTTCCAGGACAGGCTCCAAAACTACACGGAGAAACCCTGTCTCAAAAAGAAAAAAAAAAAAAAAGCAAACAAAAAAGTGGATGACTCCCAGCCCCTCATCACCATGTGAAGCAAGAACCTAATTAATCCTGTCAATAAAAACCAGATATCATGGCAATAATCTGAAAGTTCAGAGAAGCAGAGGAGCAGCCACCAGTGACTTCTTACGTCTTCAGCTTCTGTCTCCTCCTCACCTTATCACTTCCTCTCTCCGCCTCCAGCGTTGAGATTAAAGATTAAGTGTGAGCCACTGCTGCCTGGCCTCTATGGTTAACCAGTGGCTGGCTCCACCCTCTGATCTCCAGGCAAGCTGTATTTGTCAGAACATAAACAATCACACCGTGACAACCCTTTGGTCTGGGATGGTGCAGTGACATGTGTGCCTTTTCTTCTCCTTACTTAAAGATACAGGAACCCGAAGGCTTGCCTAAGGCACTTTAATGTCTTCAAGTGAAGCTTTGATTTGCTTTTTTTTCCAGAAAGGGCCGCTGAGATGCAAGAAACATGGAACGTGTTTAGGCAATAGCATGTAACTTGGGTTGGCTTGAGTGAAACATGAGCAATGGTGAAGGATAGGAAGGTTGCTTAAATCCAGCTATCAGAGAGTTTTAAAACGTCTGTCAGAGAACTTGCACTTCTTTTGTTAGGCAGGATACACAGGGCTTTCAAGGAGTGAGATGAGAACACCACAGAGAATGAGTTCTCACAGTGGTGAGGAAAATCATCTGTAGCATGCATGGGTCGAGGTGGAAAATGGTTGAGATGGAGAAACCAGTAAAGGGTTACTGCAGTGGTTCAAGTGTGTTCCCCAAAGTTCGTGTTGGAGACTACTCCAATGGGGTTTCTATTGCTGTGATGAAACACCATGACCAAAAACAAGTTGGGAAGGAAAGGGTTTATTTGGCTTACACTACCACTTTGTAGTTTATCACTGAAGGAAGTCAGGACAGGAACTCAAGCAGATCTGGAACCTGGAGGCTGGAATTCGTACAGAGGCCACGGAGGAGTGTGGCTTGCTGGCTTTCTCCTCTTGGCTTGCTCAGCCTGCTTTCTTATAGAACGCAGGACCACCAGACCAGAAATGGCACCACCCAAAATGGGCTGGGACCTCCCCCATTGATCACTAAGAAATGCCCTACAGGCTTGCCTACGGCCCCATCATAAGGAAGCATTTTATTAATTGAGGTTCCCTCCTCTCAGATAACTTTAGCTCAGCAGTTCTCAACATGTCATGACCTCTTTGGGGGTGTCCAATAACCCTTTCACAGGGGTTGCATTTCAGATATTGTGCATATCAGAAATTTACATTACGATTGATAACAGTAGCAAAATTAATTATGAAGTAGCAACACATAATTTTATGGTTGAGGGTCACCGTAACATGAGAACTGTGTTAAAGGGTCGCAGCGTTAGGGAGGTTGAGAATCGCTGCTTTACCTTATGTCAAGCTGACATAAAACTATCCAGTGCAGGAGCTGATTAGGGTTTACGGATTAGTGTCCTCGGAATGGATTGGTACCAAATTGGTACGGAGTGTATTAGTCACCACAGGAGACCTGACAAAATAATCGAGTTCAGTTCCATTCCTTCTTTGCCTCATGCTTGTCCTTTTGTCCTGCCTGTCCTTTTGTCCTTCACCTCCTACTGTGGGACAAGGCAGCCACAAAGCCCTTGTCAGAAGCAGGCCCTTCGGTTTTAGACTTAAGTCTCCAGAGACATAAGAAGGAAATCTCTGTTCTTTATAAGGCACCTGTCTTGGGCATTCTGTGACAGAAACAGAAAACAGACCGAGACATCCACACAAAAGATACTGATGGTCTCAACTATTCTCATGGCAGAGGAAATTCAAATGAAACAGAGAGAATGAGAGCTGTGGGATACTTATGTCAAAATAACTTGTGGACTGATTTTATTAGGGAAGAAGTATTCAAAAGCAGCCCTGAAATTCCTTTCTTGAGGACCCAGAGTTCTCTTTTTAGATGTGCTGTGTGTGAGGTATTTGACTATATTGCACAGCTAACAATAATGTGAACAGAACTTAGGAAAGTAATCGAAGACAATGATATACTATGGAGTGGTCCTCCTACTGGGGGTATTTAAAAGATGAGAATAGATAAGTTCATTAAAGTGAAGAGGTTTTTGTTTGTTTTGTTTCTTTAGTAAGGAAAAGAGCTAGGCACAGCAGAGACCAGCCTGGTCTATGAGTTCCAGGCCAGCCAGGGCTACATCTAAACAATAAAATAATAAAAAAAGGAGAAGGGAATGAAATGTATTTATGTTTATGGATGAGAGAGGAAAAGGAGTTATTAAAAATTTAAGAGAAATTCAAAGAATCAGGAGAGTTTAGGGTTAATTGTGGGAGCTGTCTTAAGCTTCTCCTGTTGCAGTGATAAATACCCTTTCCAAAGAAAACTTCGGGCTTTTTGTTTTTTATTTTTTAGATCACAATTACAGTCCATCATGACAGGAGATTAAAGACTTCATGAGCTTGAAGTAGCTGATCATATTATGGTCTCAGTCAGAAGAGGACAATGAATGCATGCATGTGCTGTCATTGTCTTTTATCACCCAGTACCCCCTGCCGA